GGGGGGGGGGGGGGATGTAAAGAACCGACTTGGAAAGGATGGTTTGACTGACAGTGCGTGCGTGCGTGCGTGTGTGTCATGAACAGATACCCATCTCCGCCACTCTACAACCCTAAAGGAGTAAAAAGACCATGCGATGAAGACATACCAGATCCAAGCATGGAGCAAGGCCGCATCTGAATTTCTTTCAATGGATGCACCATTTATGCAGGGTACTATACCGAGAGGATAGATCAAAAGATAGAGAGAATACTTGTGGAACATAAGTTTCAATTATTAATTTTTGGTAGTGGATTATAGTGCATGGTGTCTTATGATGCTATGAGCAGGCCTTGATATGCCATATAAAACGCGTACGCATTTTTTATTTTATTTTTGCAACATCTATCGCAGTCAGTGTTTGCAAGCTAATATTGAAGAGGGAAGAACAAACGTACCATGGCCATCTTACTCCTAGAGCGTATCTTGCTCCCCCAAGCAACAAGCACATACGGCGTAACAGTCAGAGCCAAAGCCAGGCCGCCCAACATTCCACCCGCGCCCCGCACACCCATACTATCAAACATGTAACGCGTGACGACGGGAAAGCTGCCGCCGAGCATATTTCGACAAAAGGAGTTGGCGGCCAGTGCACTTGATGCGTACACGTGGTACATGTCTGCCAGATAGTTAAACGAAGCGAGGTATACGGCGTAGATGCCCCACGTTGCGAAGCCTATGCCTATGGCCAGAGCTGTACCTTCATCTTCTGGATCAGATGTGAACGGGACAAGGAAGGCGCCCAGAAGCCCAGCGGGGAGGAACAGTCCTGATATGCACGTGAAGTATAGACGAGCCTCGGGGGCATCGGCCGGGAGGTGGCGGCGCACAAACTTCCAAAAGGGTGATTCGTCCGAGTCATCGTCTTCTTCGCTGACCCGTCGCCATTTGCTGTGACTCAGCAAGTCTTCCTGCCAGATGCTCACCACGGTGGCTACGGCGGCACCGGCAATCATGGCCACGTACGAGCGCATGCAGGCGTTGAAGTCGGCGGCATGAAGGTACGGGATGACGGCAAAGGCCAGGTACAGGATTCCCCAGGCGAATGCTGCCCAGAGAGAGAAGAAGAAGACGACGGGCTCGGTGACGAGCATGTAGAATGGACGCACGGACGACGCAGCAATCATAGCACCCAAGGACGCGCGCTCCTCGTCAGCCTGCACCTTCCATCTTATACGTCGGAGAACAGTCCGATCAGTCGATATCCGCGAAGACGATGAGAGTGAGCAGTCGTCGGCGGCGTCGTTTGGGTCGTTACTTCTCTCTCTCAGGAGAGCACCATACACGCCACTCTTCTCGAGCTCCACGTACCACTTGTTGAGGACGTAAGCCTTACGACGTAGCAGGACAGAGGCACGCGTTTCGCTTAGGAAGAGCACCAAAGCCGCCAGGAGTACAACGTTGCCGATGACCTGATGCCAAAAGCACCACCTCCAAGCCTGCGTCGGGTCCTCGACCTGGTCCACAATGGCTGCGGCTACGAGCGGCCCTGCACCGGTGCCCATGAGCACACTGCCACTAAATAGGGCCATGGGCGTATTGCGCTCCTCCTTGTGCCAAAGGTCGGCCATGATACCGCCCACGACGGAGCTAAAAACACTGACACCTGCGCCCACCATGAAACGCGAGATGAGCATGCCGACAATGTTGTTCATGACGGCGCAGGCCACGAGGAATATTACGGAGATGATCTCGGCCATGACGAGAACTGGGTACCGCCCCCAGATCTCCGACACGGGCGCCAAGACCATGGGGGCTAGACCGAACCCCATGCAGAACGTTGTAATACCCACCAAGCTGACCGTATGTGTCGTGTGGAGGTCCTCCGCCATGATGGCTGAGGGAGGGGAGTATGACCCGGCGCAGTAAGCAGTGAGGAATGTAGAGATGCAACCCAACGCCAGTACGATACCCTTGCGCGACGGGTGCCATGTCAAAGGCGAGTTGTATGCGGCGAGTTTTGGAGGCTCAGGAGACGGAGGTTCGGTAGTCGGGGGATGCGAATAATGCGGTGACGGTAGCTCCGTGTCGAAGGTGAGGTAGACATATGTGATTCTCGTGTTCTCGTCTATGGTTTGCTGTTGTTGCCGTCCATCGTCACCAGGGTGGCGTTTCTCGTTCATACAGAAGTCGGGTCCCTCGTTGTTCTCGACTTCTGATATAGCACCGCCAATTGCCGGGCCTTGATCCCGGTCAACCGTCATTGATGATGTAAGTCGTCGATGCCCGTATAGAATGGTTGCCGCAGGTGTCGATGAGCTGAGCTGGAATCGCGGTCTCAGGAGTGAGATGTCCGCGTGTCCGGAAGACAAAGACTTCCTATGTGCAGAAGCAATGAAGCTGTGAGGAAAAAAGAAAAAAGAGGAGAGGGTATAATCCCCTCCCTCTTAATATGCGACTATCAAATCCGCTTGTCCCACAGGGTCGGGAATAAACAGGCACCGAGCCAATGCATTTGTCCCTCTAAGCTCCAACTGCCGGGTATAACTGTGGTGGTCGTCTTAGGTGGATTCCCAGCCTTTATTACGGCGTACGAGTATGTTGAAAATGCCTGTTTGGGGATGAATATCCGCCTCGAGAATGGGGGCTGGGCTGCCTCTTCTATTCCCGGGGCTAGTCTGTCCAAAGGCACCATACAAGACAAGAGATACGGAACCTCGGCCCACATAGGTGACCAATTCCAATGCCACATTGCTTTATTACGGCTCAAAGGAAACCAACATTTACCGTCACTGAAAAGTTCCTTGAGCTGAGATGCTCGACGTAATAGTGCGTATTTGTTCGCCTGGACGGGGCGGTAATAAGACGGATATAGTTTACGTTATCTACCCGCCGAAACATGACTTCACCGACAGATACAACGTTGCCTATTTGTTCCATTCGCCGACTTTGACCGGGATCTTTTCCCAGTCGTACGGAGTATTACACCAGGTAAAGGAATAACAAATTGTTGAGCACTAAGTATTCACCTTTTTGCTGAAGAGGACTTTTTTTTTTTTACGTTTGATTTCATGGTTCTCGATGGTCTATTGCTGTTACCTAGTCTACATCATCAGCGCTCGTCTCTGCGGGCGCAGCCGTTTCCTGTTCGGACCCCGCATCTGTGACTGTCTTTGCATGATCGTCTTGTGTATCCTCATCCGAGTCAATTGTTTCTTCGATGGTGCCATCCTCGGCAACGTCCTCGGAAAGATGCAGTGAAAAGCATATGGCCAGATAGACGTCCCCGGTGGCCCGATTGCGCAATACATATCTGAGAGTGTACGGAATGCGTCTATTACAAGGTAGGAATATGTCAGCAAGTCATTTTTTTTTTCTATTTTTGCATCGTAGCCTGTATATTCAATGGAGCGGAGTAGACGAAATCTACTTAGAATGGAGGGATAGCAGAAAGTGGAGGAAGGGGGATGAACATGCTTACCGTACACCCCGGCTTTTCAAATAACTCAGAAGGGGTAAACTGAATCCCGGGAGTCGTAGGGAAAAGGTGGAGAAGTCCAAATATGGGTTGAAAAAGTCGATGGTGTACGTGTCACCATACTTGAACACCCATTGTTTCTTGACGTCGTCGTTCAATGCCCACTTCATGCGAGCCTGGCTATCTTCGGGCATACCGATGGCCTTACGAGGCTCGGTATCGCCACCTTCTTCGGCCAAGAGGCCGCCCTTGCTCTCGTCGAAATCTCCCAGACCGACATTCAGGACATTGACGGAACTGAGGACCGGGCCGTATAGGTGAGGATTATCGGCGTAGGCGTCGCCCTCGAGTCCCGGGTCGATCCACCAGCGAACAATGCGCATGGCGGCATTAAACCCGGGTGGGAGCCAATCACGCACAGGCCGGTCAAAGTCGTTGCCAAACTGCAAATCAAAGCCCGAGATTCCAGCTTCTGCATGCAGGGCCGGATCCTGTTCCCCTTTTGTGGCCTTGGCAGGCGACTGCGGCGCTTTGGGCGTGAAGCGAAAACAGAGGCTGTACTGGTCATTGTTGTCGGCGTGAGGCCCGCTTTCGAAATAAGGCGATGTAGAAGGTGACCCTTTTGGAAGTCCGTTGTAATCCTTGATACGCACATTGAGGTCGATATCGGCAAGGTCACTCGATATGCGAATGGGCTTAGGGTCGTTGACGGCTACCTGGACATGGTCCTTGACATCGTAGCCCGGGCCAGCAGTAACAAGCAATGTGTAGTGTTCCATGCTGGAGAGATTATATGGTGAGGAATCCAGTAGGAAAAGGGGAATAAAGTAGCCGGTATAAGAAGGTAAACGCCAGTCCAAGCTCTATGGAGGTGGCAAAGGTGAAGGTTTACAAGTATTCAACATTACAAATGTAGTGCCGTCGTGGAAGCGAGGCATGATTGGCCTATCCTCCACCAGCATCAAGTCGAAACGGCGGCATTTACGCCCAACAGTCAGTCGATAAAACTGAAGATGTGTTCTATTAACAATGATCCCGTAGATAATAACTATAATACTGAAATTAGAATACTTTTAATTATCACCCTATTTTTTCAATAGAGAAAGGTGCGCTTGATGGCTCCCGTCAGTTCTACAATGGATTGGTCGCTTGACGTCATGGACAAGTACCCTACAGTGTGCTCATTCCTTTTGTTCATGTTTCTCCCTCCGGTGCAATCAATATGCTTTCATGGGATATTTACTAATGCGGATGGCATCATTTGATATTGTTACTATTATCACTTTATTATCATCGTTACAATCGTCACCGCCATGGTCTATCTATCACCCTGTCCTGCTATTTATTCACGGTGAAGGAATCCCGTGTTCTGGCCAATCGACCGACCGAACTTGGCCTCAGAGGTAATAAGAAGAAAAGAGGAAGAGAGAAATAGACCGACGTAGATGAGACAGACTGCCAAACAGCGACCTCAAATCCGGAGCAATAACAGCGGCGCTAGAAAACAAGCTGCAATTCAAAAGAAAGCATCGGTGTGATGAGGTAAACGACACGAGACATTCTAGTGCCGTGGTTCTGCATCCAGTATCCTTTTTTTGGCTTGTCCTAACCTCTTAGGGGACCTGCCAGTCCCGGAGCAGCGTTCGACAGCCTACAGCACACCATGCAGGGTCGCGGGATTGTAAATAATTGCCGTGTCAAGTTACTATGTCACCAAGAATCAGCTCGTTTGTATATCCTTTTAAGAAACCCAAAAAAAAGACGAGAAGGAAAATGAGAACCGGCATGATGGCGAGACGAACCTCGGCCATGTACACACACAGCGCCAACTCTATTTGGCCATGGAGATTCAAAATTCCATGGGCAAAATAATGGCAATCTATCAACACAGACCCATCCGGTCCACGTCACCATACGGCAAGCCGACAAGCCTGCATTCATTCTCGTATGCGTACGAGAATCTCTCTAGGAATGCGCCTGATACCTTTGACTCTTGATGGACGTTGCCCAAATTTCCATGTTCCACGCCGACAAGTTTAAGCCAAAACCCGCCCTCCTCTCTCCGGAGCCGCCCCTCCTTCTCGCCACCTGGTGGGGGAAGGTTGCGAGGGAGCCCTGTGCCATTGGTTATGGCCCATTATAGTACCAAGGCACTGACGTCCTCCCCGCCAGTTCTTTAGGGTTCCTAACTAGTAACAGTATCCGACTTTCAGATTTCTCGGTGTCCCAGCACTGGACTTGGTAAGAACACCATGCCATAGGGGTCAATCAAATCATGAATGAACATACATAGTCCTTCCAACTTTAACAGCACTTCCAACGCCCAGTATTGACCGGATGACGACTGAACCAACGAAGAAAAAGATGCCCACGGCTCCCGTCGAACCCGTCGTTGCGACGCCTAGCGGCTCTGACGGCCCCCCGTCATCTTCCGTGGCACCTTCAACCCTCGTGATCCCATCGTCGACAAGACACAAGAGCAGTAAGCGGTTCACACCAGCATCCCGCACCGGTGCCTCGCATGGTTCAGCAACGTCGCTGCGCCACAACTCGTCCTTGTCGCTGCTGTCGTCATCGCCATCGCCGCGGATCGTTTTTGGCTCTGGCACCCTTGCCCGTCTGCCCACCGAGCTAGGTCGTCTCCGCCTCTCGTCGCCGCTTATTGTTTCGAGTCCGTCGCGCACAAGTGTTGCCCACAGGGTCCTGACCCTGGCACCTAACTTCGACATCTCCATACTCGACTCAGCTGTCGGCAACATGTCCCAGCGCGCTGTCCAAGAGGCCATGGCTCGCAACTCCAAGCGCGACTGCGTCATCAGTATTGGCGGCACTTCTGCTGTCAAACTTGCCGGCGCTATCGCCTCTGGATATAATATTCCTCACGTCTGCATCCCCACAAGCTACAGTGGCTCCGAAGCGCCTCTCGTGAGCAGCGTACCTCACCGGCGAGGGTCTAAGAACCTTCGTCGGAAGGGGAGCCCGGTCACGAGTAGCGGGGCTAGTAGCAGTGGCAGTAGCAAGCGGAGTGGCAAGCGGAGCACTGCCAATGCCGGCGCCGACTGTAACCAAATGCCGGCCGTTGTCATATACGACGAGGAGCTTACCAGTACGGGCACTCCCATGGTACTCTCCGCCCCCACCGGATACAAGTCTGAAGATATGAGTGGTCGTGACTTGAAAGACGGTGATTCCCAGTGGAGCTTTATTCAGCTGCCGGGTGTCTAACAGTGTCTTTCTCTTTTTTCTCTCTTTCTTCTCTTACAACGTTTGCGCAAGTCGTCTTCACACCAGAGCATCCGATTACTTCCGGGGTTCCCTTCCAACACGGAGTTGTGAGTCACCGAATACTGAATCTTCGAGTATCCTCTCCCATATACGACCATGCAACTGCTCTAATACAGCGTCACACAACCAATACCGCCATCTTACCATTATCTACCTCGTCGCCCTTTTCCCCTTGCCCCTATCGTAAAAGAAAACAAATCGTCTGATAACGACTTCATCTGGTTTCCCCTCTTACCATCTCCCTTGCCCTCTTGTTCCTTTTCGCATTTTATACTTTGCCCGGAGTTAGTGGCTTGTTGTACATGGATAATACCCCATAGAGAATGAAAGATGCGTTCTCTTGTTTCCTAGACGTTGTGAGTATGCTTCGTACATCATAAATTGTCCAAGTGTATGTAGCTAATGTTATTTTGCAGTCACCTTTATGCTATATTCCAGTATGATAAGTATCATGTCTTATATTATGGGTATCTTTTACTCCTGTCATTTGTCGTCCCTTTGTTAAAGATTATACTACCAAAACGGTGACACCCCCCACGCCTAGGGGCACCAAATGATCGTTACGAGACCACCTGCTATTCTTTGTAACCGTCCTATCGAATGATGATATATGACAACTCCAACGAGTAACGCCCTGCTCTGGCTGAAAACAAATTGAAACCACAATTAGAGAAATTAATCCAGCCCTTCGAATCCCATGATGCCGTGAGCACCCATAGGGCCAAGCCTGACCTTTTGAGCCTCCTTGCGCCTCTTAGCACGCCTCTTCATATCTTCCACGGCGTCATTGCTATCGTCACTGTCGCCGCCGCCGCCGCTGTTGTCATCGCTGCCGGCAGCTGGACGCTTCTCGCCAGCACTCTTTCCGACAGCAACCTCCTCGCTATCCTGGTCATCGTCATCGTCGCTAGTCAGGATGCCGTCATCGTCCGAGTCGCCATAGCCTCTGCCACCCTCTCCTTGTAGTTCCGACAGCTCTTCCCAGACCTTGACGGTGCTTCCACCGGCACTAATGAGGCGGTTTGCGGAATCGAAGCCAAGAGAGATGACACCTTCGAGATCGTCGTGACGGAGGGATGCATTGCCCATGACTTCGCGGCGGATGAGGTCGACGATGCGCAGGCTGCCGTCGCCGAGACCGCAGACAATCTTCTTGCCTAGGCCCATCTCTTGGGGAATGAGGGCGACGGCGTCGATGCTCTCGCCTCCCGTGGGACCGCGGGCCGAGTCGACAATGATTCGCTCCTGCTGGTCATCCCAGGCACCCTTGTCCCACATCGTAAGGACTCCGGTGCCGGAGCCGAGGGCGACCATGCCATTCTTGCGGTTGCTCTTAGGACCCAGGCCCGGGACAAAGCACGAGCTCAGCAGCTCATCCTCCTGATCCTCGCTGCGAACAAGGACACCTCGACGCACGTCAGTGACGGCGAGCGTGGTGCCGCCTGTGCTGACCCACTGCTTGGGGAAACCACTAGTACTCTCGGCCGTGGGGGGTAGCGGGGTAATGGACGAGACGTAGTCGTTATGGGGGAAGTGTGTCTGGGCCGGACGCGCTCCGGGCTGGCCACCGTTTTTGCGGAGGTCGACAATATGCAAGGCTCCTGAGTCGGTGGCCAGCAGGAGGTTCTGGGGGTTCAGGACGTGCAGGAGCGTCGGAGCGTCGGTAACGGAGGTGCTGGTAGGAATGACTATCTTGGAAATGACAGCACCCGTGTTGGCGTCAAAGTGCTTCACGATGGCGTCGGTTCCAGCAGAGTACATATCTGTTCTTGTGCAGGTTTTATTAGCTTTTTCATTGCGCCAATGAATGGGGGGGCCCGTGATGGGATAACGTACGAGCTCCATCGTGGGAGTACGCTACGCAGCGACAGCTTCCCTTGTGACGACGGGTGCGCCAGACCGTGTCAATCGTGTCCCTGCCATTGCCGCTGACAAGGCTCGTGTCACCATCTGCATCGGTGTCACCGTCTGTGACGGGAAGAGGAAGACGGTATGTCTCGACCTGACCCGTTGACAATCCGACCGTCAGAACAGGCTCTGTCGGGTGCAGGGCGGTGGTGAAGACGTCGGACTGCAGCGGCAGGGTGCAGAGATTCTCGAACATGACGATTGAAAATTTGGGGGTTGTATTCGTAGAGAAATAGAGGCATAAAGAAAAAGAAAGAATAAGAGGGTTGGGGGTGCCTCTTTATGTCTGCAAATATGGAAAGAAAAATGCGCCGTTGTCTCTCACTGAATCTTTTTCTCTTTGTCGGCCTCTTTCCTTTTTTTTTTCCGTCGCGAGGTAGGAGCTCCCCCAGACTAACAGTCATTATCCGTTAGTGAAATTTTATGGATTTTATGGACATTACATAAACATGCACAAACACACATAGTAGACTTATACATTTTATGTAAACTAGGACAATTACAGTACAGATTACGAAGTACAAGTACAAGAGCACTCCGTATTACTCGTAGAGTGTGTGTGGTCCATGGATAATAACCCCACGAGTTGCGTTGGTGTGTTGCTGCCGCTACTAATAATTATTATACTTTTCTCCGATTAGTACTGAGTACGGAAGGCTCCGAATTCAGCATGTGTGAAATCAGCGCCAAAAAAAAAAAATCCGACGAATGAGGTGAGTTAATTGATGCACGCTGTCGAGGGTTTTCGTCCCTGGGGGACAATCCTCCCAGGAAAGTGAGTAATAATTCCAGAATGTATTCGTCATTTTCGAACAACTGTGCGGAGAGTGTCAGTAACGCGTCAAGCAGACCATGACGAGGATTTAGAAGATTCTACTATCCCTGTGCTGTGATAGTGTCCGTATAAGCAAAGACTGTGCCTGGATCTTTCTTCCCTGCTGTGCCTGCCTGCTGCTTCTAGGCCAGCGACTCTATCGCTCCTTCCTCTATTTCTAGACTCTAATACCATACAAGCTCTCCGGATCAGGAAAGAGCTTATCTCAAGGAAGGAAGAAGCCATTGTCGTCATGCCTTCCTACATGTACTTTATGGACTTGAAAGCCTCTCACCAGTATCTCTTGCCAGATTCTCTCCATATAACAACGTGAATTCTCCAATCAAACATCTCACACTCCATGATCCATGATCCTTTATTCGTAATTACGGAACCCTGTCTCTATCTTTGGCGCCTTGACCGGGTGGCCCCCTGTCTTTGATGTCTTTGATGCCTTTTACATGTACAGAGTACTCGTACATTCTTTGCCTTTGCACTTCATGCTCTCTGCCCCTCCGCTCCGCTTCCGCCGAGAGACTTGGAACTTGCTCCATTATCTCGCGGTCCGTCCACAAGCCGCCTACCATCCCACGTTATCTCTGAGTGCCCGATGGCCCGTGGGTCTTGCCCCCCCCCCCCCCCCCCCCCCCCCCCCCCCCCCCCCCCTTCCAATCCTTTTTGAGCAGGGTTCAAGCCAAACGACCATATCTGGATCCTATAAGATGAGCGATCAACGCTGTGTTAGACCCTGAGATTATCCCCTACACCTCTCTTTCTCCCTACTGACTTCGTCTTGGTTCTTCTTCCCTCCCTGCTCCCCGTCAAACTCAATATGCGCCCCAACTCCATCATAGCGCCCTTCACTGGCCTCTTGGTCGCCGGAGCATCGGCCACTACCCAAACGGTCACTCCTCTCAAGCCCGTCTGGCCCTCAAAGTCTCACAAAGAGTGGCGTATCGATCTCGGTCCCCGCCCCGGCTTTCTGGTCGATGACATGGACGAGGGTCCCCTCAAGAATAAGCTAGGTCAATGTCTCAATGACCCGACACCCCTCCGCTCGTCGCCCTGGGTCGTTGCTCACCGTGGCGGAGGCACATTGTTCATGCCCGAGCACTCGATGCAGTCTCTCATGACGGGTGTGCGCACGGGAGCCGGTGTCCTCGAGTGCGACGTTTCCTTCACCCAGGACCGTGAGCTTGTCTGCCGTCACAGCCAGTGCGATCTGCACTTCACCACGGACATCCTCCAGAGGCCCGAGCTAGCCGCCAAGTGCTCCGAGCCCTTCACTCCAGCCAGAGACGGCAAGGATGCTTCAGCTAAGTGCTGCACCAGCGACATCACTGTCGCCGAGTTCAAGACGCTCTGCGCCAACATGGAGGGCGAGAACACCAACGCCACTACCATTGAAGAGTACCACCCTAGCACTCCCAACTGGCGCACCGACCTGTACGCCACATGCGGCGAGACCATTACTCTCGAGGAGCACATTGAGACTGTCAAATCTCTAGGTCTACTGCACACCCCCGAGCTCAAGACTCCTGAGATCCCCATGCCCTTCCAGGGTAACTACACCCAGAAGATATACGCCCAACAGCTTATCGACACGTATCGAAAGCACGAGGTTCCCGCCGACCAGGTCTACCCGCAGAGTTTCCTGTACGATGACATCCTGTACTGGATGGCCAACGAACCCGAGTATGCCCGCCAGGCCCTTTTCCTTGACTCGTACGGAGATACGGCAGAAACCTTCCCTGCCGCCGTCAGCAACCTGACCAACTACGCCGCCGATGGTCTCAACTACATTGCCCCTCCCATCGTCTACCTCGTCACCGCCAAGGACGGCAAGATGGTCCCCAGCGAATATGCTATCGAGGCCAAGAAGCTGGGTCTCAAGATCCTACCCTGGACGATGGAGCGTTCTGGGCCTCTCGCTTTTGTCAAGGATAACGGTGACTATTATTACCAGTACTTTGCTGATGCTGTCCACAAGGATGGGGATATGTACACCTTGATTGATCTCATGTACAGGAAGATTGGAATTGTCGGTCTGTTCAGTGACTGGACTGCTACTCTCTCTTTTTATGCTAACTGCATGGGCATCTTTGACAAGCCTTGACTACGGCTTGGAAGTCTATATTCTGAAGTGTAAATACAATAGATTCCTGGAACATCATACTCGCGCGCCCCGATGAGTGAACATGTGAACAAACAAGGTCAATTTGTACATATAGCTAAGAGTAAGGTGGCTGGGTCTTGATGGATTATAGCAGTGATATGTATTTGGGCATAAACAAAGCCAAAGCAAGTACCAGAAACAGAACAACAACAAGTCTCAAACATGAGCATCTTTACCGAGAATCTCCTCAGCAATGGCCCTCCCCGCCTCCCTTGCAGAAAAAATACACCCTCCCAAAAAGGTGCCCTCGAGTGAATTATACCCATGCACGCCACCGCCGCCAAAACCAGCAGCCTCTCCTGCCGCATATAAACCTGGGAAGGCCGAGCCATCAGGGCGACGAACATTGCTTCCCAGGTCCGTCTCCAGACCTCCCAGGCTTTTGCGGGTAAGGATGTTCATGCGCACCGCTATCAGAGGACCGTGAGCTTTATCCAGCAGGCGATGAGGCGGGGCGACACGGCTTCGCTTATCGGGCCAGTATGTGCGTGCATTGTGGATAAGCATGGCCTGCGCATCCTTGGCGTAGGGATTGTCGAACTGGCTGTCGCGTATGTCCACCACACGTCGCACATCTGCGGCGTTGAGGGTGGGGCCTCCCCGGTCCTTTGCCAGCTCGTTCATGCCGGCCACCAGGTCCTCGAGGTTGTCGCGCACCACAAAGTCCTTGCCATGTTCCTGGAAGTTTTGCACGTTGGCTGTCCCGCGCTTGCTGAAGATGCGGTTGTAAAGAACCTGCCAAATGCTCTTGCCTGTAATATCTGGGTTCTGCTCTGATCCCGAAAGCGCAAACTCGCGTGCGATAATGGTCTGGTCTAGGATAAACCACGTGTAGTCGTACCCCGTCGAGCAAATATGCCGGAGCGTCGACAGAGTATCCGCCCCAGGGAATAGGTGAGGTGGCAGACGCTTTCCCGAAGCGTCCAGCCACAGCGATGAAGGGGCCGGCAATACCCGGATCCCGTGCTCCGGCCAGATTGAGTCCCAGTTGTGCAGACCCTCAGTATAGTGCCACATGCGGTCGCGGTTGATGACACGTGCTCCTGCCTTCTCGGTGATGGATATCATGCGACCATCTACATGCGCTGGTACGCCGACGACAAAGTGCTCGGGAACTTTGGGACCCAATCGTTCCAGGGGCCACGCTGCCCTCACTGCGTCTGGGTTGCCGCCGATGCCTCCCGTCGACACGACGACGGCCGATCCACGAATCTCAAAGTCGCCCACGGACACACGAGACGATTTGACACCCCTATCCTTGCCGTCGTCCTCGAGAACTCGTCCGCGCACGCCAACTGCCCTACCAGAGTCATCCACAATGAGCTCGTCCACCACATGACGGAAGCGGAATTTCACAAGTCCCTGGCGTTCAGCTTCCCGAACGGGCTCGGCAAACACACGTACTACCTCTGGTCCCGTCCCCCATGTCAGGTGAAATCGGGGCACCGAGTTGCCGTGGCCGTCGGCCCGTCCGTCACCCCTCTCAGCCCATCCAACATTGAACAAGAATCCCATCCCCCGTGCCTTGACGTAGCTCTCCATATCATCGGTGGCAAAGTCGACAAATGCCTTGGCCCATTTCCGCGGCCAGTAGTCCTCGTCGCCCTCCTTGTCGCCTCCCCGGTCAAATTGCGCAGACCCCATCCAGTCCTGCATGGCCAGTTCGCGTGAGTCTCGCACGCCCAGGCGTCGCTGCTCTGTAGAGTTGACGCAAAAGATGCCGCCCAAAGACCAAAATGCCTGCCCTCCCAGATTGGCCTCACCTTCTTGATCAATGATAACGGTTGGTACCTTGCGCTGGGATGACAACTCAAAGGCTGCCACCAGCCCAGCTAGGCCGGCGCCCACGATGATGACGGGCTTTGCGTCCGAGGTCATTGTCGGCGGTATGCTGAGAGGGAGGCAAAATGCTTGATTTCTTTGCTGATCCTGGTAGGGTAGTGATAAACTATCCCTCTTGTATATCAATTGCCCTGGTACTGGTTAGTAAAAGGCTGGGAAGTTCAAGCTTGTGTATCTAGGCACAGCCCCCGAGTGACTAAGTCGTACGACGTACAAGGAGCTTGAGAGGCGGGGTGAGAAGCAGCTAAGAACTACCTACACTGTGCCGAGGTCAATTCTTCCATACAGCCGGTCTCAGATCAGCGTCCCTTCTTTTCAGATGACAAAGCGAATTACTCTGTTAAGAACAAGCGTCTTGTCGAATCCATTGAAGGTAGACAGCTCAACTACAAGTAGGTCCTTAATTACTGTCGCTATTGTGGGGCAACCCATTGCTCGCGTACGTACTCCGTACGTACTCTAGTACCAACTAGTAACAACTAGTAACAACGTTCTGTCAATAGTATTAATACACACTACTGCTCTACCTCCGTTGTTCAACCATCGTTGCCCAAAGATACACGGGAAAGCATGACCAAAAGAAAAGCCTCGCTGAGGTATGATATAACACCGCTTGTATGATGGCAATACTCTTCTTGATCGGCAGTCCGTGGACACTGGAGCCGGATAGTGCGGGGTACGTACGATAGGCCGATTGGTTGGAACCTACAAACGATCGGCATCCAGCTTGACCGCGTCTTTGTCGGCAGACAATTGAGGTCCAGGGCTTTTCAGACACATCCTGCAGTCGCACCGGCCAAACCATTGAAAAGGACAAGGGCGTGCATGCGTCAGTCAGCCACGTCGCCAATCACTGTCCCTTCACAATGAGGCCGTTTTACGTTGCTCTCATCTTGGCCGCTGTCGCATCGCCAGCTCACGCCCAATTCAACACAATCGTCAGACTGCTCAACACCTTTGGCCTGTCCAAGCCCCTTGAATGTGTCCTCCCGTGCGTCTTGGCCTCGACCAACGATGTGCCGTGCCACGAAAGCGGTGCCGCCGCCATAATATGCCACAACATTGATGCCATTGAGGAAAAGACGAAGCCTTGCACTGCTGAATGCAACGCTGAGGTAGCTTCCAGTCAGTTGCCCCGTGTTTCTCTAAATATGCAAAATATTGTGCCGGTGACTGACATGGCGGTATGAACAGAGTTTGTCGTCGACGTAGTGCGCTACGTCTGTGGCCACGACGGTCGCGAGGCGCCGTCTAGCGAGGAATCGTCGTCTAGTACCGCAGGAGAATCCTCCGGGAAGGCTGAAGACAAGAAGCCAGCGGATACTGAGGCAGAAAAGGCGGGTGAGGAGAATGAAGGGTCAAACACAAATGACGATGCGAAGGAAGAGTTGTGAACCCGTCATGAAAAGACACGAGAACCACCATGTGGCATCATCTCGGTTTCACCTGTCTCGCGTTCGATGTATATAAATGCATATACATGTACATATGTAGTGTATATTCTTTTGGTCAGACAAACAATGTACTAAGAAATTTTCTCCCCCAAGACAGGTTTTTGTCTTTTTTTTTTCTCGTTTTCTAGGGGCGGGAGAGATTAGAGTACGAGGGAATTCAACTCAGGGACGCTCCTTCCTTCGTTTGCCATGAAGAAAGTTCTTTCCTTTACTATTCCCTATCATCCCGCGCCTTCCTCTATGAATCGAACATATTTCTGGGGTGATGTTGGGGTTGGTTTGTTTAACGCATTGCCATTTTCTTTTCTTCTGGACAAACATTGGCATTGACAACGACGCAGAAATATCACAGCCTACTATTAGTGTATTATCCCCAGTCTTGTGAGAGCCTTATTAGTGTTGTTCTTATAATACGACGGTTCTCATCAGGAAGCCAACATACCACCTCGGTTTGCTCTTTCATTCGGAGTCCCGGCCATAGCTCATACGACATAAACACCCACACGAAGCCCACGATCAAAGCCAAACACATGACACAATGTCAATCAATGAACTCTCATCCGAAGATATTTCCCTAATGCATCAGTACGGCCTCCTCCAAAATGTCACGTCCGGTATCTTCTTTCAGGAAACCGAGAATCCATCTCAACTAGAGACTTCCAGCCAGACGAAGCCGCAACATGCTAGCCCAAACCCTCATAGCCCTGGGCTGGAGACCAATATAGGAGGACCCTCGCAAGGTCCTACACCATTCGACCGTAGACGAACAAGGCTCCGACACGAACAGGCCCCAACAAGACTTTACACAGTTCTTTCATGACTCTAATTTCGACCAGATGAATGAACAAGACCCTGCACAGTGGTTTCTTGAATCCGATTTTAGCCAGATGAATCAGCAACACTTAGTGCAGTTCAATCTTGAACTTGGCTCCGACCAGCTAAATCAACAGAACATTTCACAGTTGTCTAATGAGTCTGATATCATCCAGACGGATCAACAACATACTAGGCTATCAGCTCCCTATGCTACGGGGGCCGAGGCCAGTACAAGCGAACCTGGTCAGGGCGCTGCGCAATCCAACATTACATTCAAACAGGGCATCAACACAGGGGAGACTCTACAGAGCCAGATCGATCCGGGAGCCGCGCCGGACACCGGAGCTGAACTTGGGCCGCCAAGACTACCCTTTCAATACGAGCAACAGCAATGGACAGTGTCAAGGATATAGTCATGGCCTAGACGACACTTTGATTCTACGAAATACACTTGCCTTGATTGGGCTACCCTGTACACCAGACCATCAGTCAGGTATTCCTTCGCGAGTATGCAGATTTCGGCTCAAATTTTCGATATCTTGCAAACCGAAGAAATTTTGAGTACAGGTATCTCACTTATTGTGGACAACTGCAATGATCCGGGTTTCGCAGTGACGATGCATCGCCTATATAAGTTGAATGACTCTCGCACCATACCAAAGACAGTGGTATTGTCGAAATCTGCCGCCAATACCAGCTGATGTCAAAACATGTTATGCAGTCTCGGTGCGACACTTGCCCCGGATGGGAAGAACCTTACATTAACCTACACCGTTGATTCACCGAGAAAGAAATATGACAATATACTCCGAAGTCAACCAGCCTAGATGGTTAAACTTCGCGACTTCGGGCTGTCAGACATAAGCCTTACGAGGAAGACGTGGGGTTTGTTGGCTTTAGGGAGCAGGGCAGTATTTGCTTACGTTCCACCGCTGGCTATTACCCTAGGAAGGCCAATAGGAAGATAGGATCATATTACAGCCCGTTATGCGACCTTCACGTGCACCCTACAATTTCCTTACTCATCACCACCTTCACTTACACACAACACAACTAACGAAGCGATCACCTAGATTACCTAGCGATCGCAGTGATTAATAACTAAGCGATTACTTTAATTACCTAGCGATCGTAGTAATCACTACTTACGATTATTACGTTCTCTTAATAATCGCCTAGTATATAGTTGACCTTATTTCTATAGCTTAGACACTCCTTATCTAGCTATTAATAATATAGTTAACGCTTCTTCTAAAACTCTAGTTCCTTTTAGTAGTAGTACCTATAACTATAACTACCTTATTACTTAATATAATATCCTAACTATCTCGCTAATATAAAACGATATTATCTCTATCTACCCTATAGCTTAGAGTTAACCTTAACGTTATATATTAATAGCTCTTATTTAAACCGTTACTATACTAGACGCTAAGTAATATAAGATACTATAGCTCTTAAAGGAAAGAACGTTTCTATTACCTTAATATCTTCTTCTTTAAAGGGAAAGTAGCCCGCTCTTTAGGCGAGCCTAGTGCTTACTCTAGCTAAATCCCCTATATAGAAGATAGATATTAATAACGATAATTCTAATAATAAAGAAATTAATAAGCTAGCTTAGGATTAGTAAGCCTATAATAAAATCGCCTTCTTTAAAGATTAGCTTAACTATTACGGCCCGTTATGCGACCTTCACGTGCACCCCACATTTTTTCCTTACTCATTATCTCTACGACCACTTATATATAAACACCACGATCGCTCATTTCTAGATAACGATTATTGCGATCGTTCCTAGGATCGTAGCGACCGTAGAGATAATCATTGTAATCGCCTTAAGGATCTTAGCGATTACCTAGTATATAGTCAACCTTATTTCTATAGCCTAGTTACTATTTACCTAGCTATTAATAATGTAGTCAACGCTTCTTTTAGAACCCTAGTTCCTTCTATAATTAGCACCTATAACTATAACTGCCTTATTGCTTAGTACGACATCCTAACTGTCTCGTTATATAAAACGACAACTTATCTCTATCTACCCTATAGCTTAGAGTTGAACCCAACCGTCACACATTGATAGCTCTTGTTCAGACCGTTACCGTGTCAAACGCTAAGCAATACAAGACACTATGGCTCCTGAAGGATCAGCAAGCCCGTGACAAGATCGCCTTCCTTAAAGATCAGCTCAACCGACTAAGCATCGACATAATCAAGATAAACGAACTTAAGGAAAAGGAATCTAAACAATAGGAAAACCATATTAAGGAAATGTAATCTCTTATTAATTCTAGTGTCTCTAGAAAGGATATTAGAGAGATCATTAAGCTAACTATACCTAAGATATTTAGAGGAGAATCTAAGAAGCTTTAGCTATTCTTTACTTAGCTATAAGCCTACTTTATATACTTCCTACGATAGTTTATTATCGAAGAAAATAAGGTTATATTCGCTACTAGAAGACTAGAAGGTACCGCTCTCGAATAGTTTAAACTAACACTCTAAGACTTCGTTAATAATCTAGGCAACGTATCCGCTAAGACTAATAGTATTATAAACTATGACGGTTGGTACGACTCTATGCTATAGGGTAGTCAGAGAAGTGTCGGTTTTATATTGGCGAGGCCGTTAGGGCGTCTAACTGAGCAATAAGGCAGTTATAGTCGTAGGTGCTAATTATAGAAGGAACTAGGGTTCTAGAAGAAGCGTTAACTATTATATTAATAGCTAGGTAAAGAGTGACTATACTATAGAAATGAGGTTAACTATATACTAGGCGATTATAGAATTGTAGTGTTAATCGGTTAGCGATTAATGCGATTTACTAGTAATTGTAGTAATCGCCTCTTCGATGTGATTTATAGCGATTATCGTTGAATCGGTATAATCGCATATAAGTGAGGGTGTTGATAAATAAGAAAATGTGGGGTACACGTGAAGGTCGCATAACGGGCCGTAATATAGCGAGGGCTCGCTTTCCCTCTAGCTTTTATAGGTACTATCTACTTCTATCTTTATCGTTTATATAGATCCTATAGCTATCGTCGTAGTATACTATCTATAAGAGGAGTTCGTGTTTCTTAATAATAGCTTTATAGCTACTTTATGCTTAGTTAGTAAGGGTATTAAGATATTTTCCTTCTTATATAGGTTTCTAATCTTTCTTCTTTTATTAGCATTCCTAGGCATAATGACCCTTCTTACTATAGTTATAATAGGTTTCTTTTAATTTATTATAGATCGTATCTAGTTCTATTAGTCTAGTATACTAGCTAAATATAGTGCTTTACTATTATTATAGTTTTCTTTAGTTTACTTAATAATATTAAAAACTATTACTATTTCGATTATAAGAGCGAGAGAAGTTATAGTTTCCTTTATTCTTCTCGCGTAGTTAGTTATACTAGCGATTATCGATCTTAGTTACTATTATAATATATATAGCTAGGTTATAGGGTCGATCTATTTTATAGATCTTATCCTTTACTTCTTCCTTTATACTATTATAAAGGGCTAATATAAGGTAATTAGGTTCTTAAGGTAGCTTAGAGGTGATTTATAAGAACCTAATAGCGTATTTAGATATAGATCCTATTTATTAGAGTCTTTTAAGTTAATATTTAGCTTCTCTTTCTTTATCGGTAGCGCTAAAGACTTAAAATATAGAGTTTTTAAAGTAATTATAGTCGTTTATAATACTATTAGTTTTAGTAGATATATTGCCTAAATTATTAATAAAGTCTTAAAGTATTAGTTTAAACTATTTAAGAGCGGTTCCTTCTAGTCTTCTAGTAGCGAATATAACCTTACTTTCTTTAGTAATAAACTATTATAAGAAGTATATAAAGTAGGCTTATAGCTAAGTAAAGAATAGCTAAAGCTTCTTAGATTCTCCTCTAAATATCTTAGGTATAGTTAGCTTAATGATCTCTCCGATATCCTTTCTAGAGACACTAGAATTAATAAGAGATTATATTTCCTTAATATAGTTTTCCTATTATTTAGATTCCTTTTCCTTAAGTTCGTTTATCTTAATTATATCGAGGCTTAGTCGGTTAAGCTAATCTTTAAGGAAGGCGATTTTATTATAGGCTTACTAAACTTAAGTTTGTTTATTAGTTTCCTTATTATTAGAATTATCGCTATCGATATCTATCTTTTATATAGGGGGTTTAGCTTAAGTAGGCGCCGGGCTCGCCTATAGAGCGGGCTACTTTCCCTTTAACGAAGAGGATATTAGGGTAATAGGAACGTTCTTTCCTTTAAAAGCTATAGTATCTTATATTACTTAGCGTTTAATATAGTAATAGTCTAAATAAGAGCTATTAATATATAACGTTAGGGTTAACTCTAAGCTATAGGGTAGATAGAGATAATATCGTTTTATATTAGCGAGATAGTTAAGATATCGTACTAAGCAATAGGCAGTTATAGTCGTAAGTTCTACTACTAAAAGGAACTAGAGTTTTAGAAGAAGCGTTAACTATATTACTAATAGCTAGGTAAAGAGTGACTAGGCTATAGAAATAAGGTTAGCTATATACTAGGTAATTATTAAGAGAATATAATAATTATAGGTAGTAATTATTATAATCGCTAGGTAATTATAGTGATCGCTTAGTTACGTGTAAGTAAATGTATTAATAAGTAAGGAAATTATAGGGTGCACGCGAAGGTCGCATAACGGGCTGTAATAGATTCGATAGGTTTATAGTCGAAACCCGCCTACCTAAGCTATAAGATGATTTACTATAACATCTATTATGAGTCATGAGTTTAAGGCTCTTAGTAATATTCCTAGTATATAGTAAATCAAATTAGACCTACCTACTATCGATATTGTGATATTCTCGTTTTTTTCTCCTTCTGATGATAACTGTAGATATATCCTAAAAGGGGGGGTGTTCTAAAAGTGGGTGTGCTGACTTGCCTTTATTTCAGCGACCAATAGAGCAATTGCCTCTTGTCTCATGCTTACCCACGATGGGGAGGATTGCACCTTCTGGAAACGATGGATCTCTAGTACAGCAAGGATTTAGTGGCCTTTTGCGCTGTATTTAGCACACAACAGTGCTCATAATATAGCACTTACAGTTGTAATAAGGAACAGCGGCTCCTCCTTGATAGCGGTAAGAAAATAATAATAAGTATTACGTGCTTCTAGTCGAATTGCGTGCTTAAGAGCAGACTGAGATGCTTGCACACACACACAAGCACCCCTCTTCTTTCCGCGCCTCATTGTGCCTACAGACGAAAAGCCTTCCCCTTCTGCGCTTCCCCAGTCTTATGGTGGATGAACAATGTCTCCTTTAGATCACAGAACTAGCGCAGCATGAGACGTGGACAAGATTGAGCGTGACTGAGACAAAGACCTTGGAAGGCTATGGAGGGTATGACCCTGACCTTTTCGGCGGCACCTAAGTCTCCTAAGAAGACATGTGTGCAGTGCAGGCAACGCAAGGTAATAATACGTAGAATTGGCATATTATACGACACATGCACTCTCTTCCTCTCTTCCCCTCTCCTTCGCTTGACCTTCAACTACTCCCTTCGCCCACCCTAAATACAACAGACTGTTTATGCTGATGCAAGATTAAAAGGTCCGGTGCATTAATAGCCAGCCTGGTGTGCCGCCCTGTGACAACTGTCGCCGTCTCAAGTTTAACTGCCACTTCCGGTCCAGACGGGCGGGGAGAGCGTCACATGGCGATGAGCCCATGGCTAAGCCCGAGCTGAGGAGGGTGAGCAGAGCGTGTGTTCGATGCAGGGAGCACAAGATTCGATGCACGGGTGAGTTTCCGTGCGCGACTTGCCTCAGGAAGTCCGCTTTGTGTGAATACATGGCCGTGGACCAGATGGTCAAACAGGCTGCTGGGCCGTCATCGGATGGTGGAACAGCAGCATCAGCATCAGGTCCCGCTTCGGCATCGGTATCACAGGAGGGTGGGTCGCTTCAGAACAACGCTCATAGAGCTGTGAGCCTGGGGCACAGTGGCGGTATCCAAACGTCGACCAACATACTGGCTCTCCTCGATGCCTTCTTCAAGCACGTGTACCCTCTTCCATCATATGGGTTCCTGCACCCTAGAACAACCATGACCAAGTTTGCCGACGGCACGATTGAAAAGAGTCTGGTGAATGCGATTGCCGCCGTGGCCAGCGTGCGGGCGCCAGGCGTGCAGAGGTGTCCCAGTCTCGAGTCGGCGTGGGTGCAGGAGGCCGAGACGCTCGTGTGGCAGCACCTCGAGTCGCCCACCGTCTCACGGCTACAGGCCATGCTTCTCGTCATCTTGTACCGCGCCGAGACGGGCCAACTGCGGCGGGCGTTTATGCTGGCGTCGCTGGCAGGGAGGACCGCCATGGTGATGCTACTCAACCACGAGAGACCGGGCACCTCGTCGGTGTCGCTCGAAGTACGGAGGAGGCTGCTGTGGTCGCTTAAGCTGGTGGAGCGGTACTTCTCCGTGGGATTGCCCGAGTTTGAGCTGTGCCCTGTCGAGAACATCTACATCCAACTTCCCTGCTCTGAGAAGCAGTTTGGAGACCGCGGTATTGACAGCGACGACGACAGAGGCGCCTACCAGATCGGCATAAAGCTGGAAATGTTTCGGCGAGATGTTATGAAGCTCAACCGATCTCTCGCGCTGTGCGACCAGCCGTTCCCGCAACTCACAAAGCTCATGAGCGACTTCCAGCAACATCTGGACCGCATCGGCAGTCAGATGCCCGATGGACCGGAACCGACTGAAACGCAGCTCGTCGACTCGCTCAAGAGCCGCTGGCTGCCGCGGTATCTTATTATGCGACTGTCGTTTCACCAGATACACATTGACTTATATAGGCTGCTGCTGCGCAACTTTAGGACCGCGGCGCCGCGTTTCGTCGTCGAGGCCCTGGATTCAGAGTACCTGACCGAGGCTGAGCTACTATGCACGCATCATGCCAAGATGGTGGTGCACGTCATCGACGTCTTGGACAGGACGCTTGGTCGTGGCGTCAAAAACAACAATGAGCCACGACTCCTCGAGTTTGATACGGCCATCTGTGCATACACTGCATCGCGCATTCTGCTCTTCACAGCTCGCTTCGGGACCACTGCCGAGACGCCTACCGAGGACTTTGCTCTCAGGCGTGCTGAGATGTGCCTATCAGTCATTCACCGGTTCTTTGCGCGATCGATGCTGGTGCGCCCCATTGTCGACGAGCTGCGACGGCTCATTCAGGTGTTTGTCATGGATGACGCTCGCGCTCCGCCTAGTCGCTTCTCGTCGCCTATGCCTCCGCCATCGAGTAACAGTCCGGTTGCGCAGCTGTCGTCGGCGGCAAGGATACGTCAGCGTCTGGCTGTGCACAGCCTGTTACGACAGGCGAAATTTGTCGACGAGGATGAAGACGATGATGTGGGAAATACCAATGTGCCGTACCCTCCGATACAGCAACAACAGCCATCGCCTGCTAATACTGGATCTGCGTCGACGATGTCCGTATTGCCGTCTACGGAATTTCCTCCTCAGACCAGTGGGTCATCCTCGTCAGGGTTCAACGCTATCAACACGGGACAAGGATGGAATGTCGTTAATCCCTATGTCAGTGGTATTGGCAGTAGTATCAGTCCACCCATGACGGACAAGGAGATGGCAGATGATGAGCATGAAGACGATAATGAGGCCACCTTGGCGCAGCAACAGCAGCAGCAACAGCAGGGCAATGACCCTTGGAAGAGATGGTTTTTTGATGGAGGCAGTGATTCATTACCTCAGCAGGACGGGGTCCTCATGGAGGCTGTACCGCCGCCGCAAGGAGCGGGGCTTTCCCAAAAGTCTTTCACGTTTCCATGGCTACAAAGGGAAGAGTCTGATTTGATACCGCATTATGAGTGACATAAGAAAAAGAGTGAGACACGGGGAAGGGGATCTTACTTGTGAGATAGCGGATGATTAGCAACTTGATATGGACATTTCAATCGATCTAAGTGGCAGGTTGTCGTTTGATGTAACTGGTACTACCAATAATACCTGCATATTATGGTGCATAGTATTTGTATGTTGTTTACTATAGCAAAACGAGCTATGTACTGCGGTTCTTTTTGAGTATTCTAGGTAGGCATATTGCCCAGACAGAGAATATCGAGGCTGGTAGTAGCGTTATGTAGCACTCAAAGCAGGTGGTAACTTCAGTGGTTTATTATTGTATTCAAGTACCACGGTCGAGATGACGAATGGCTGTGGCGCAGCTGCACGACGAAGGATTACATACGGAGTCAGGCCTCTAACGCCCTAAATCTGAAAGTGGCGTGAGCGCATCCCCCACCTCAGCCACGATGACATCACCATCCCAACTTCCAACTTGATAGTCATGGATTAGATCAGTCATTAGTCCATCCGTGATTGCTTAGGGAGAGTGGCATTGAATGTATTAGCATGTTAGGCTTTTCTGATCTCTGAAAAGGTGTAGCAAGGACTTTCAAGGGAAGGAACGCCGTTTGTATGGAGGATCGTCGGCAGCCCTCTTTCCTTCTGCCGCCTCTTAAGACCAACCTCCCCTCATAATTTCTCTCCACTCTTCAACAACAAACAAACCGATGTTCGCGTGCGCATCACTCTTGTCTCACTAGTCGCTGATTCACTGCGCGACATTCGCTGTACTCCCCCTTCTCTCTATTTCTCTCTCTCTATTTCCCTCCCTCTTTTCCTATCTTTCTCCTTCTTTTTCTCTCAGATAACTACGTCTGAATCTACCCCCCCTGCACCAGAGGCAACAAAGAACAAAAAGTCCAAGGCCGACAGACAGCAACATCGCCAGCCAACATGAGTCCAAATTTTGGATCCTTCGGCAAGCTGTCTATCGTGTATGCAGTGCTGGCACTGTTCCTTATCATCGAGCTCGGCCTCACAGCATATGGTACGTATATGTTAAACAGGAAGCAAGGATTCTCTCCCATGTGGAAGATGTGGCGGCAGGCTGACTTGTGACTCTCCGTCAAAAAACAGTCGTCAGCGACACGAACCCGACTCCCTCTTCGTTCTCTTTCATGCTCTTTACGACAGTCTGGTCCACCCTCGTCCTCATCTACCTAGCCGTGACGCCTGTCGTGCTCCCGAGCTTCAGTATACCAATCGTGACGCTAGTCCTCGTCAGCCTGACGACGCTGTTCTGGTTCGCCGGCTCCATCGCCATGGCTGACCACATAGGCGTGCCTGAGTGCCACGGCAACAACTTTTGCCAGTCGACGCAAGCCGCCGTGGCTTTTGGTTTCTTTATATGGGCCGGCTTCACAGGGCTGTCGGTCCTCGAGTTCCTAGGCTTTAGGCGTGGCGGAGGCGTGTCGGCGGATAAGCCCTCTCGTCCGTACTCTGCTGCGTAGAACAAGTGAGCTGGATGCGACGGAGTGCTAGGGCAGAGAGACAGCATAACGATGTGGAGTGGCGGTATGGACCTTTGGAGATCGGCCACTATGATGCAACATCGCGCGATGCGAGAAGACGAAATGCGTGTGCGGCTATACGATGCGATGCGAAACTAGGTATGGCAGTGACAATGACGACGGCGGTGGTGGCGGCGACGATGATAGTAGCGGGTGCGAGGAAGGCATACAAGACAGAACGGACAGATTTCGATGGTCTAAGGCGTTTTGAGATTCGGTTCAATAAACCAAACAAATACCCCTGCGTGCGATTGGCAGAGATGGAAAACCGGGAATCAGTAGTAGTTATTAGTCTTCCTTCTCTCAACGGTTTTCGTTCTTGTTCTTCTATCCTGCTCTTCTTTGTCGATTTTTTGGGTTGATAGGTCTTCTGGTTCATCCTCAACCCGCACGTCTTTTCGTAGATTTCTGCTGCTGGTTGTTGTGCACTTCAGGTTAGTAGCAGCCAATGTTCACAGTCCAGTTGCATACGAATAACCTTAGAAGTATTGGGCCAAGAGTGGTTGAGTGGAAACAGATAAAGAAAAAAAACCCATGACTGTACGCACGACTGAGTACATGAATATGTGACGTAAAAAAAGGTGATCCCGTATGATTCCGGACGGTTGTACATGTAATATGCGTGCGATAAGACATGATCAATGTCGGCTCTAACAGGGAGATACGCCGCAAACCATTAGCTTTATGGTGTATTAATTACTACAAGTATGACAAATACTAGAGGCCGGAGGCTAGGGCTAGGACTGGGGACCCTTGCTTGTGACTTATCAATTTATCATTTTCTCTCGAGTTTACAAGAAATTGATGTTTGCTTTCTTTTGCTTCATGAGAGAGCCGAGAGGGAGAAGAAAAAGCAATCATCCACTGTTTCTCATCAGACAAGACCGACAAGGAAGAAGGATCCAATGCCGATCTGCTGTCGATCCTATATAGTTAAATTGTCGATCGTGCGTGGGGAGCAAGGAGGAAGAGATGGAAAGTCTCACATCAATGATCATGCATGAGTCGTACAGAGCAGCGATTTTTCCTTTGGCAACCAAGCATCTCTTGAGAGTACGAGAACCTAGTACTCCGTAGTACTCGTAAGGGAAGTCATTGGTAACTACCGTCTTCCCTTGAACTCTCTCGCTCTCTGTTCCAAATCTCCCAACACACACACAAGCGATCCCATCATGTAACCTGCTATTATAACCATGGTCATCTGCTATGGAGCAATAACTGAGCTTCGAACAATAGTCCGACGCCGCCATCTTAAAACTATCGGAAAACTAGACACAATTGGTGAAAATACCATCCGTCAACAGAGCATTGATCACATTGCAAATTTTCACGCCAGAACGGCCGTCTGATACGACATATAATATGTAATACTGTCAGTATAGGTGCTCCATGTGGCTTCCATACTCCGAATTACCACGGAAATACGAAGTAATACGCATGCAACGTCCTTATCAGTAGCCACTCGGAAAGGGAGGAGGCCCCTGGACCTTGAGTGGGGGAGGTCTCCTTAGGTCCAAAATGGGATCCTTTTTTCTTTTGTCTGCCTTCTCTTTTCTGCCATGAGAAGAACGAACTGGGACCTTTTTTTTTTCTTTTTCCCTCTTTGTCGCCTCCTCTTTACGACTAGCAAATAATAGTATATGTACGGGTAGTTGGTTCCAAGTATTCCTGTGTTACTGGACAGCGGGCAGGTGTCATTTTGTCTATGCCGCCCGCAACAATGCCGCCCTGCCTCTGCCCTCCATGTGCGCTTTGATAAAGCAGAAATCAGGTTTAACAGAACAATAACAAACGGCTTCTCTCGCGGAACAAGTAGTTAGTACGAATTGTGTCATCTCGTACGAGAAAAACATTGAGCGCATTGCGTCATGATTCTTATAGCTCCCACACCCCTCGCCTGTCTCTTTGTTCATCGCCTGTTCGTCTCTTCTAGTACAGTTCTCTGCCACCAGTCGCATTATGAAAGGTATTGGGCAGGGATTCCCACCATAGATAGCGCTTTGTTGGTTTTTTTTTTTATGAATACAAGACACACGCCCCCCTCCCTTCTCCCCCCTTCCACATCCTCTGGACTTCTACGAAGTCCTTTCTCGCAGGAACCGGGGCTACCCGACCATACAATGCGATGCTACGAGTCAAGCTATGGAGTCATGCGGTAATAATCCAAAGTCACGGCTTGCTACCAGCCAACAAAGCTTCTCTCCTAGCTTCAAGCTACGGCTAAAATATCCATTGATTCTATGTATATAGATAACAGACCGCAGATCATGAGTGTTGTATCGTTGCACAAATCCATACCATTGGTTTCGTAAGGATACATTACGTCGTACGCCTCTTGCACAAAGCAAAAACCCATTAATTCGATTATTTTGGGAAGGAACGTTCCGTAGCAGGCTCCTTCTCGGACTTCTTGATACTACCACTCCCAACCAACACCGTCTCCCTCTCTCATCCTCGCCTCTTTCCTTCTCTTCTCCCTCATTAATCTCCTCTCAAACAGCCACGCACCACACGAGACAACGCCATAAACGACGCACCACTTACACCACCATCCATCCATCTTCTTAGCTTCGTCTCACCGTTACCGGCTACGTACTCACTTCCGCCCGCACGCTCCCGCACCGTTGTCACTAGTTAGCACCAGCCTACCTTGGCACCTTGGTCCCTTGGCTCTTCAGTCTACTCTGCCCACCCCACGGTGGAGAATCCGGGCCGCCCACGACTGAGGCGCTTCAACTAATACGTTATATTATCACTCCGTACTGGCGCCACAGTAACACTACATTGGCTTCTTTCCCCCTTCCTTCCCCTTATCAGTTGCGACTCGACCAGGGGTGCGGCGAGGGTCGCGCCCCGAGCACGTCCTTGTCTTACATGCAGCCAGAATTGTGGGAATACATCACACCAGACGTATTATACGCTATTTACACAGGCCAATTCGTAGCGTGAATGGCCTTGGCTAGGCCCGGCCAAGTCCTCCGTCTAAATAGAATGGCACCTCCCCCGGATTGATTTAGATGGAGCATGGTTCCATCGTCTTACTCTTTGCTCCATTTCATTCTCCACACATATCTCTTTGTCCCCTCATTCTTCTGCTCTTCCTCTTCTCGTCCTCATGTATATATGTGAAAAAGAAGCTTCTCGTGACCGAGTTTAGCATCCAGGCTTACTACATCCTGCACGACACTTTCTGAACGACGAGTCACCCGCCCAGAAACCATTGAACTTGTATTCCTATCTGCACGGCTGGCTGCATATCCGCCATGTCAGCTAGAAGCGCCTCAGCGCGCAAGAGAATCGAAGCCCACCAAAAGACAACAAAGGCCAAGGAAGCCCTTCTGCCCATTCCTCAAGATCGTCACTACCCCATACCGGACTACTATTACGAGCACTACCCTTACCAAGGTCACACCGGGTATGATCGCAATGCCGACGTCCAGTCGCCTCCCAGCTCTAGTTCTCGGGACAGCTCCATACACGGCAACAGCTGGGGCCAAGGGGGCAATGACCATGCTATAAAACAGGTTGAAAGGGAGGAGAGTCGAGCCGACGGCTTGAAAAGAGGCCTGGCAAGGGCCTTCGGTAGGAAGAAGGAAAAAGACACCACGCCAGTAGTGGTAGCACGAACCTCACGTCCCGACAGCGTTGCCACTAGAAGACAACCTCAACCATCCATGGTCATAGACACAAACGCCTACAGTATGGGCGAATACAGTCAGCATCCCCTACCCGTTCCGCAATCTACAAGCAGCGGCTCTCCAACCTCTCCCGCCTTTCCACGCGGCGGCCTACAACACATGCAACCGCAGCAGCATCCTCAGCATCCTCAGCATCCTCAACATCCTCAACATCCTCAATATCCTCATCAGTTCCACAGCTTCCAGAATGGTAGCCCCCACCCTCACCGAGCCATTCCCCAGGGTCCGCCTAGCGCACAATGGCCGCTTCCTCCACCAGTTACAAAACTTCCCCCCATCCCCAGTACCAACACTCCTCCCATGAAACGCTTCCTTGGTGGAGGCCGTCCAGCAACAAAGTGGAATAAACTACGCCGGGATCCAGAGCTGTGGGACCCCCACGGCGATGTCCTGGTTTACCTGGGATACAAGGAGAGTGGCGAGCCACCCAGCCTCCGCTTGTCATCTCACGTCATTGAAGCCACCAGGAATAGGTTCCTCATGGTAAAACTCGATAAAAGTTTCGTAAGTGACAGCAACCTGTCATCAGAGAGCTCATCCTCGCCCTACTGGAACCAGTCGCGGGGCATGTCTGATGGCGAGGATGGTCTGGACGGCGGCGTCTCATTCGAGATGCACTTCCCACCACCCCCCAATAACAGCATCGTCGATACGATACAGCACCAAATGACGACGCGGAACATGTTTTCCCTCGTCTTCAACAAGTCACTTGTTGGCTTCTCGCTGCAGCAGGCCCTTGTGGACTTACATGCGCTCTTGGACCGCCAGCGTTCTTCGGGAGAGCCCGACGCCACAACCCAGCTGACAGCCTACATTACGGCTCGTGGACTCGATGATGTCCGCAGTCAGCCCGACATGGCTGTGTCCATACTTATATGGTCTGAACGTCAGGGTATTCAGTGGGCCCGAGGTTGGCGGGAGGCATTTGTACACTGCACCGGAATGAACCCCCATAGCCTCGAGAGGTGTACAGACTGGAGAAATGTCAACCCCCTGACCAAGGCCCACCTCGAGCGATCATGGCTCGAGATGAGGACGCGCGTCCAGTCGGCCGAGGAGCGCCTGGGTGACTTTTCCTTTGAAGACATGTGGTCGGGCTCCTCGGGATCCATGTCACCAGTATCGGCACCGATTGACTCACCGCGGGCCGCTGCCGATCGCCTGCGCAACTTCCTCATTAGCCACTACGGTCAGACGTATGGTTCATGGCCACCAACAATTTCCGCCTCAGCCAGAGGTAAGGGTCAAGCTGACGGGTCCTACTCCGGCATTGGTGATGATGGCGACGACGGCGACAAGGTGTGGCTCACGCGTGAAGTTGCCGGGGCACTGCAGCAAGACTTTGGGGCCCTGTACGATTATCTGGTGGACCGTGACATTGCGTGGGACGTGTCGGAGGCCAGGGCAGGTCGCAAGTGGATGATGGCGTCCAAGTCTGGTAACATGGCATTTGAGGCCGACGAGCCGAATATGCCCATGACGGATATTCTCATCGAATTTGACAACCGGCTCAATATGCCGCACATACCACACCCGCACCCGATGTTGCCAGAATCAATGCCGCCACAGGCCATGGGAGGGAGCAGCAGGAGCAGTGGGGGCGGTATGTTCAAAACGCACCAGCCACAGAAGCCGCAGAAGCACTCAGGGCGCGAACGCAGGCTAGCGTTGGCTTACACCGAGACGACCAACCTGGATGCTCTAGGGAGAAGCGGGTGCCCACAGAGTGCGTTGATGCTAGTTGATGCCTTTTCACGCTTCGAGAAGAGTGACTGCACAGATGAGATTGACCCGCGGGTGGCGCGCCAGGGCCGGTGGGTACTCCTCTACGGTATCCTGCAGGTGCTGGCGACCGTGAGCATCGACACTCCTGGCATCAAGTACAGTGATGGTGTGCCGTATCATCTCAGCGCCAAGCTCAAGAGGCCGGCGTGGACACGGGAGCGCGGGGTGTTTGGTGATGCGAAGCACGAGATGTCCTATTGCTGGTTGGCGCCTCAAAGGTGGGCCGAAGAAGGATCAGAAGAGGACGAGGAGGACGGCGACGAAGAAGGAGAGGCCCGGTGGGGATCTGACTACATGGGAGAAGGATCAAATCGCGACAACAGCACGTTGATCCCAACGCCCCTTCTCAGCCCTCCAGCCATGTCGACGGCGGCATCGGAAAGGACCGTATCGAGTGCGCGGACGAGTTTGTGTACAGGAGTCAATTACTCATACCGGCACGGAAATAGGGTCGGCGGTGGCGGTGGCACAGGCAGTGTGGGCGGTGGGGATAGAATGATGGGATCGGGGCCGCCAACACTAGAACTACCTCTGCGACAAATATCCAACGGTGGTGCAGATTCACTGCATGACGTTGTCCGGCGACAAATTAGCACGACGCCCAGTACATCAAGTATGGGGTCGTTGCTGCTGGCTTTAGAGGATCCTAAGAAAAAGTTGGGGAGGGTATCTGATAATAACTACTCCGATGGGGATCGAAGTGGGAGCCCGGTGATTCGGGATTTCGATGAAGAGCCGTGATGATGATGACGGTAATCTAAGGTTTTCTGCAGCCGGTTTCCATCTTTTAGTAGCATGTTTCTTAGGGTTTTGTAAAATACTAGTCTATACTATATAACCATATATCAATAGCAAGAATCATATATATATCCCTAGTTCGCCCTTTATATACCGTTCGCAGTACTAGAGTGGGACTACTATAGCTACTTGTGACGTTAGGGTTCAACTCTAAGCTATAGGGTAAATAGAGATGATATCGTTCTATATTGGCGAGACAGTTAGGATGTCGAACCAAGCAATAAGGCAGTTATACTCGTAGATACTACTATTGAAAGGAATAAGCTAGAGTGAAAAGAGTGTTCTAGCTAGGTATAATCTAAGTTTACCATATAGTAAGTGTTATAGAAAATATACATATAGCTTAGATAAGCAGGACTCGACTATAAAACAGTTAAGTCTATCGCTCTAAAAGATAATAAACTAAGAACTTAATACTATGTAATACCTAACCTACCTTTTAGTATATATAAGCGTATTAGTAGTATATTCTTATATATACTACTAAGCGTATTAATATCTTAATAGTTAAATCCTTAATTAAAATAGTTAATTCCCTAAAGTATATAAATATATTTTTAAAAGAGGTCTTATGGTATTGCTTAGAACGACATCCTAACGTGTGACGTTGAGGTCAACTCTGAGCTATAGGGTAGATAGAGATAATATCGTTTTATATTAGCGAGATAGTTAGGATATCGTACTAAGCAATAGGCAGTTATAGTCGTAAATAATACTACTAAAAGGAACTAGAGTTTTAGAAGAAGCGTTAACTATATTATTAATAGCTAGGTAAAGAGTGACTAGACTATAGAAATAAGGTTGACTATTTACTAGGTGATCGCCGAGGTCCTTAAGGCGTTTATAATGATTGCCTCTATAGTCGCTGCGATCCTAAGAACGATCGCAATGATCGTTATTTAGAAATGGGCGATCGTAGTGTTGTATATAAGTGGGCATAGTGATGATGAGTAAGGAAGAAAATGTGGGGTACACGTGAAGGTCGCATAACGGGCCGTAACACTAGGTAAGGAGTGACTAGGCTATAGAAATGAGGTTAACTATATACTAGGTGATTAAGAGGTAGTGACGTTAATTAGGCGAGGGTGATTAATGCGATTCTTATTAAATCGTGATAATCGTATATAAGTGAGTGTGTTTAATGAGTAAGAAAGAGAAAATGAAGGGTGCACGTGAAGGTCGCATAACGGGTCGTAACATAACGGCCTCGCTAATATAAAACCGACACTTCTCTAACTACCCTATAGCATAGAGTCGTACCAACCGTCATAATTAGTTAACCTTAGTAGGAATTACTTTTTTTTAGATTCTATATATTAATTATTATATATTTACTAGAATTTACTAAGATACGTTATTTACTTTCCTATTTTTTTAGTTTTCTTATTTTATAGTATATAAAAGGCTAAGATTAATAACTTCTAAGTAGGGACGACTCTATGCTATAGGGTAGTCAGAGAAGTGTCGGTTTTATATTAGCGAGGCCGTTAGGGCGTCTAACTAAGCAATAAGGCAGTTATAGTCGTAGGTGCTAATTATAGAAGGAATTAGGGTTCTAAAAGAAGCGTTAACTACTATATTTATAGCTAGGTAAAGAGTGACTAGGCTATAGAAATAAGGTTGACTATATACTAGGCGATCGCTAAAGGGATGTAATGATCGTGAAGAGTGATTATTACGATCGCTAGGTAATTAAGGTGATCGCTTAGTTAGTGATCGCTACGATCGCTAAGTGATTAAAGTGATCACTTTTATTATATATAAGTGGAAACGATAGTGATGAGTAAGAAAATTATAGGGTATACGTGAAGGTCGTATAACGGGCTGTAATACTATATTCGACTCTAAATAGTAAATCGAGCTAGAGACTAACGCTTTAGACTTTACCCTTAGAGTATAAATTATATAGAGAGATAAAGGAAGACAATTATAACTAGTTACCTTCTATTTAAAAAAACTCTATAGCGCTAAACTTAATTACCTAATATATAATAAAGAATTCCTTACTATTATTAATTTATTTAAGGAATTTAAGTACTACTTAACTAAAAGTAAGCATAAGGTTAAGATATATATAGATTATAAGAATATCGCCTACTTTACGACTATATAAGAACTTAGTAAACGATAGTTATAATATATCGAGTATCTAGCTAACTTTAACTTTAAGATTATCTACTAAAAAGGAGTAGAAAATAGAAGAGCTAACGCTCTTAATAGGAGACCTAATTATAACACTAAAGAACTAAGAGCCTTAAGATAAATCCTTTATACTAACGATAATAAGAATCTTAAATATTATATACTAAATATATTAACGTTTACTATTAAACCTAATGACTTAATTACTAAAGAAATCTATAATATTATAAAAGAATAGAAACTAGATAACTATTTAAAGGATATTAAACTAGAATAACTACTAATCTAGAATAAATGAATATAGCTACTACTAGAATTATAAGAGAAAACTATTAATAATATATATAGCTACTAGATATTAAGATACTAAAGAATATAGAAAACCCTTAATTATATATAATAAATATTCGACTATCTAGGAATTAAAAAGGATATAGAAAATATTATTAAGAATTGCGAAATATATATATAAAGTAAGTTAGTACGATATAAACTATATAGAGAACTAAGACTATTACTAATACCGCTACGGCTATAGGAATTAATCGTATTTAATTATATTATAAAGCTACTAGCTTTAAAAGAACTAATAATAAATATAGTATATAATAGTATTTTCGTTATTACTAATAGACTTATAAAATATAAGTACTTTATACTATATAAGGAAGCATTAGATATAGAAGAACTAATATATACCTTCCTTAAAATTATTATTAATAACTATAGATTACCTAAAGAAATTATATCTAATAGAGGAATAATATTTACCTTAAAGTTCTAATAAGCCCTTATAGTATAACTTAGACTAAAGTATAAACTTAATATAGTATACTACCCTTAAACTAATAATTAGATAGAACGACTTAACTAAACTCTAGAATAATACCTATAGTATTATATTAACTATAAATAAGATAACTAGGTATTAAAATTACTTACTATATAACTTATATATAATAGCTCGATTATAGAATTAACCTAGATTATATTAATATACGCTAACTATAGATTTAACCTAAAAGTATACTAAACGATACTATTAAGATTACTTATAAAAAAGGTAATGCTTAACGCTAATTAGTTACGATTACTATACTCCTAGATATAGAAAGAACTTTCTTTTATTTATTAAAGAATAGTAAAATACTATAATTAGAAAAGATTAAAGGGACTAATCTTTAAGAGAGGGGATATAGTCTACCTACTCTAACGAAATTTTTAAATAACTTAATTAAGTATAAGATTAACTTTAAGAAAATTAGACTATTTAAGATTAAAGAAGTACTTTTAGATACTAACTATAAACTATTACTACTATCTATAATAAAGATATACCCTATTTTTTATATTTTATTATTAGAACCTATACTATAGAACGTAAAATAATAACTATATATCGAAGTATATAAAGAAGAATATAAACCTAAATGAATTATTAATAAATAAAAACTATAAGGAGAAATATAATATTTAGTTAAATAGAAAGGATATAATAATACTAAAAATATATAGGAACCTATAAAGTACCTTAAGAACTACCTTTACCTTATATAATAGTTTTATTAGAATTATTTAAGACCTTAGTAGATAAAGACGACTCTCTAGTAACGCCTATACTAGTAAAAAATAATAGAGTTAAGGCTACGTTATTAGATAATAATAGTAGATTAATCTTAATATTTAAGAATAGACCCCCGCTTAAGGAAGGACGCTCTTTAGTAATACGCTATACTTCGCGTTCTACCTCCTCTTTTTCTATACGCTCTAACTCCTCTACCGAATCGATATTACGAGACACTACTTATATTATCTTCTTAAACTATAATTTCTTTTATTTTTAAAGACGCTCGACTTTCGCGTTTATTTATCGATAGGCCTCGATTATCTCCTCTTCTATATAATAACGTTCTTCCTTAGCCTCCTTAAGATCTAACTTAAGTTTAGAGTAGTTCCTTACGAGTTTTTATAGTTATAAGAGGGACGGACTAGATATATCGTAAGATGCCTTATTAAAGCGCACGCATTTAGTATATCGAGAAGAGTTAAATTAAGAAACCTAATAAGATAGTAGGCTACGGCCTTAATAAAAGGAATACAAAGGTATATTAATAGAATTCTTAAGTATCGTCTTAAGGAGACGAACTTTTCGATTTCTAGCGTCTATAGACGATTTTTAAGAACGTTTAGTAATACGGCTAGATATAGTAAAATAGAAGGATAAAGGAAGGAACTTATAGAATAACTAATAGGTAGGACGGGAACGCTTATATATAATCTTAAGATAAGATCCTAGGGAGAGGGGTATTATATTACGGCCCGTTATGCGACCTTTATGTATACCCTATATTTTCTTTTCCTTACTTATTACTATTATACCTACCTATATATAATCGTATAGTTCTAAGTAACGATTATTGCGATCGCTCTTAGGATCGTAGCGACTACTAGAACGATTACTATAATCGCCTTACGAATCCTAGCGATCGCCTAGTATATAGTTAACCTTATTTCTATAGCCTAGTCACTCTTTACCTAGCTATTAATATAATAGTTAACGCTTCTTTTAGAACCCTAGTTCCTTCTATAATTAGCACCTACGACTATACTAAAGCTCACTACGATCTAAGGGATCTAAATCTAGTATATAGTTAATCTCATTTCTATAGCCTAGTCACTCTCTACCTAGCTATTAATAATATAGTTAACGCTTCTTTTAAAACTCTAGTTCCTTTTAGTAGTAGCACCTACGACTATAATTGCCTATTGCTTAGTACGATATCCTAACTATCTCGCTAATGTAAAACGACATTATCTCTATCTACCCTATAGCTTAGAGTTGACCCTAACGTCACAAGACCTCTGCGAGCATAGAGTATGACTTAACAGAATATACCTTTGTTTAGTCGCCACAACATCACCATCCCAGCTAAAAGCTATAAGTAGAAGGCTAGAACCGCTTGACATCTATAAAATGGGCTATTCTATATGGTATTTATAACGTAGATAGATAGATTGATAGAATTATAAAAATCTGCTCGCGATAGTGACCAGCACCACCTTTAGTGGTACGAGGTTAGCCAAGTGACCAATATAGTGAGTGGGGCGGGCAAGAGTAATATTATTCTATTAGCGCACAAGCGGCAACGGGATCCGGCTTGCCTAGGTGGTCCCTTTGGTATCCCCACAGACTGGGCGATTTGGTGGGTCTGGCCTGTGTCATGGGATCTTGCTCTTCCCGCATTCCGTGTTATAAGACACGCCTTAGCCATGGACATTTTGAGATTCTCCTCATATTCGAGGTATCATGTCCCCCTTGCATTAGTATGCTTTACCCTTATTTTTTGCTCATGAATCATGTATGATTATGTATAGTAATGCACAGAAGAAGCCATTAAAGAAGAAGAAGAGAAGCGCAAGGTGCAACATCGTTATAGTTGTTGCCCTGCCAGCCACCAAATAAAAAAATATCGGGAGCTGTGGATCGAACTACTCGTAGGAAGGAGCGATCTGTCACACACCCCTGTACTTTCACATCTTTTCACATCGTATCCATTTTCGTAATACTCCAATTAATTGAAAATGTGCCCCCCTCTCTCTCCATCATTCCTCTGCCTTTTACCTTTGTTTCCCATGTCTTGGGTCAAGTTGAATAAGATAGAACCCCGTACTAAGACACGCTATTGTCTAAGTTTGAACAGAGCACTGAGCAGAGAGGACGTCCAGAACGATCAGCCACATCACCACTTGGATGACCTGCGAGTCCACCTTGAACTAGGTCTGCCAGACTTGCAGCAGGTCATAGAAAACTGTTTGGACCAGATACGGATACAGTGATGACAAGTATGGCTGTTCGTTTTCCTTTTCGGTTAGCTCCGATTGTCCCACGGGCTTTGGCCCAACCCTTGTCCCCCAGCCTCCTCTACATATATTATTCCCTGCTCCAGGCTCACTCCGTGCAGCTAAAGAGGTTGCAGCTTGCTGCTGCAGCAACAAACAGGTAAAGACATGATCCCTGCAGCCTCTTATTACTTCCCTGCCACCCCTCTTTTTCCCTTCTTGCCATCGACTGAACCCAGTCTTCCGATGCTGGGAGGTACAAAAAAGGAACCGCTGGCCACCACCTTTTCGCAAAGTGACGCAGCTCCCTTCTCCCCTCACTTTACTGTGCTTCGCCGACTTGTGTTCCCTGTCGCATCCAAGAAGCTCTCTTCTTTATTACGACAAAAGAAAGAAGAGTATCAGACATTGTTGTCGCTTAGTGCGCGCGTCATCGTTGCCCACAATGTTCTTCGCCCTCTTTTTCGTGTCAAATCGCATTTTTGAGATTGTGCTTTTGGTGAGTTATTCTGCTGTCTTGCACCTTTTTCTTGCCCGGTGATATATCACCGGTAACTGTCAGTGCTGACCCTCGATCCAGATACCCACGGTTGGTATGTTAGCATGGTTCGTGGACGGCTTTACCAACGCCAACGCTCTCACTCCCGCCTCGGTTCTCGTCCTGTTCATCGTCTCGACTCTGGCCCTCGCCTGGGCTATCTTCACCCTCTTTTCGTATCATCGGTCCTCGACGAATGCGCGCTTCGTGTCCCTCCTTGATGCCGCCTTCTTCGGTGCCTTCATAGCCGCCGTCTATCAGCTCCGTGGCATCGCCAGCCAAGACTGTACCAGTGTCTCAGCTTCGCGCACGCAGTGGTCTCACAGCCTGGGTGACTTTACCATTTCTGGTCCGGGTACCTCAATCGACTGGCGCACCAACAAGCGATGTGCCATGCTCAAGGCTTGCTTCGCCTTTGGCATCATTCTCGTTGTTCTCTTCTTCATCACTGCCATCACCGCTTTCCTCCACGGCGACTCGGACGAAATTGAGCACCGCAGCAGCCGCCGCCACCACAGCAGCCGTCACAGCCAGCGCCGCAACAGCCGCAGCCACTCGGGATCGCGTCACAGCCACCACTCTCACAGGAGGGTGTATGTCTAAGGAATGGGGAAGAAGAATTACAAAAGAATGAAAAGAATGAAAGAAAAAGACGAAACGAACGGGATAACTTGATTATGGATAGCGAAACGGATTTTACGCCATGGACCGAGAAATATCTGCTCTATACTTGCTTAACAATGATGAATGTGCTCTCTAGTGCGAGAGTTACGAGAAACGACTGACTATAGGTATATAGATAATGTTCAATACACTCCATAAGACATGTCCACTTATCTCAATATCTCACTGTCTGCTGACCGCCTGTCTTTGTCTTTTTTGTTTCCCCTTGTGTCTTCCTTTCTTGATGACTGAATGCTATGCTTTTATCCTATGAATACATTTCTTCTTTGTCGAAACAATGTTACTATCGTGGTCTCGTTATCGGGTTCTGTTGCCCCCTTCCTTGTCAAGCTCGTCTCCATTCTCCTCCATCTTTTTTCAATGCCTTTTTCAATGCCTCCCAGCGCCAGCTGCAGCCTCTCCGACGCGGTATCCCCTTGCAAGACCGCTACGACCCTCTTCAACTAATGTGCTCGTCTCGTCGCGTCTGTCTTCATCGTCTGCAAAGTCGGTCCCCAGACCTTGCCACGTCCTCTGCGACCTGAGGAACTCTGCACCGGGGCTAATGACGCCGTTAATGCTAGCAATCTCGCCTGACCTAGCCACTTTGATGAGCGAGCTCGACGTCTTGTCCTTTGGCTTGCCGTCTGACGAAATCTTCTTCCTGCTCCGTACGGCAAGGCGCATGGGTCGGCTGTGACTGACGAGTTTACCTGTACGGAGATCGTACTCGGGTGGCTGAGACTCTTCTTCGTCGTCTTCGTCATCGTCTTCCCGGACGTCAATATGCCTATCTCCTCCTCCTCCTCCTCCTCCTTCCTTCACTTCTGCTGAGCCGTTGGCGCCGTAGGTACCGTTTGTGTAATTTCCAGAGCCGTCCAACTTCAACTTCTCGATACCTCCCCACCACTCGCCCGACCAGATGCGATGCGACTCGTCCATCAGGGCCACTTCCATCTCAAAAGGCGTGGCGACGGGCCTCCAATACCCGCCGCCCTGGTCCTCGTCTATTAGGCCAGACTCCCAGCACCCAATCACCACCCACCCTTCCACCTCAGCGAAATTAGCCAGCTTAGCGGGGTTCAGGCGGCCCACGACGACAGTGTACGTCTTCTTTCCCGCAGCGTGGCAGGCCTTGCGCAGAGTGGCTACCGACGCTAGCGAGTCTGCCACAGAAAGGGTGTTGACCAGGATGCCGATTACTCCCGCTGACGCGAGACTGAGGACACGTGCGAAGCGTCGTCGGAGAAGACCGGCTGTATGCATCGTGGGATTGTCGAGCGCGAGCGTGTCTTTTGACGTTTCAAGCACGTGAAGGGACGCGAAGCGCGAGTGTAGCGAGAGGAGAACGGACGGCGACGGGTCCGACACGTGGAAGAGAGAGTACGCCTTCAACTCATCGGCGGAGGCGCATGCTACTGTGCGATTAGGCACCAGTCCGTTTGGATCACGCACCACCTCCGTCCCCAGGATATCCTTGTACCCCCTGCGGGCGACGAGCTCGTCCACCAGTGGCGTCACATGGTGCTGGTACATGAGGTCTGCCATTATGACGGCACGCGTCGTTTGCCTGTCCGGAAACTCAGCCTCGAATCTTTCGGCCACGGCAGCCACATCCAGCTCCCGGCTCGTGTAGACGTATATGACCGGCAGTCTGGATGTGGGGCTGAGACACGCCCGGCCGTAGTGCACCACGACCTGAGCATCTGCGTGCTCGGCAGCCACCTCGTCGACGCAGCAAGCGCTGTAACTCGTGTCTCCGAGAATGTATATCTTTTTCCTGCCATCGTCCGACAGTCCTGCGCCCAGAGTCTCTGCCACCCGCGGCGCATCAGTGAGCATGTCGTCGGGAAATTGTAGGGCTATGCGCTGCCAGCCTCCGGCCCTCAGCTCCTCGGTCGTCCGGTCGATCTCGTATATGCGTCGCAGGGCCTCTTCAGGCATTGTAGACTTGGCCGTTGCGATCTTGGCTGCAGGCTCGAAGAGTTGGCCGTCCTCGGGTGTTGAGAGCACAGGCGCTGACGATGGGGCTGTTGTGCCAGACATGGTTGCTGGGAAAGTCGGGCGGCTTTTTTTCCTTCTTTTTCTTCTTCTCCTTCCTTCCCTTCTCCCGCGGTTTCCTCCGCGATTTAGTCGTCGCCTTCGAGGTATTATACTTGACCTTTTTAATAATCCACTCAATACCGCTTTGTGCGTCTTATGCTCGTTGTAATGAACTAAGCGTGATTCGAGGAGGACGATTTTTTTCCCCCGTCGAGTCTTGGAGGGGTAACCCTGTGCAGAAGCGGGGTGTGTGTGTGGACTTCGGGGCTAAGCGGTGTCATTTGTACAGGGTTCTATTAAGTGCTGAGGGAATCAAGTAGTCTCACCAATCCCGTACTTATCGTATCGCCAATAGTTTGAAATGGTTTATATGAATTGTACAATGGCAGTTTACAGTGCAAGCTGTATCGACATGTCACTTATTACACGTCTTCTCTTTGGCCTCGTGCAATAATCCAAATTACCTTGTCTGTGGTTGTTATACCGGAGAGGCTATAAGTCCTGTTTGTTCCCCTTCCTTTGGTGTCATTGATCAGGAGATTTCTGGCATAAAGATTGACACGAACATGTGCTAAAAACATGGAATTCCAAACTTCTAGGGGAAGTTAGTTTATTTATGATAGAACATTCCATGAAAGAGAACAGAGCAATCCCATTGATAAAATAATGGCTACCTCATAATTAAACCGGGTGATGGTGGCAGAGGGACAGAATTTGGGGTAACTTCAGGGTAACTAAAACATATGGGTTCTCACGGGTGACGACATTGTACAGTGTGAATAACATGAATTCGCGTCACAACACGACGCGGAACATACACAGTGTACAGTGTACATAATCTGAATACTATTCCCTTAACGCGTACGCGACGCGGCTCCTTCTTCGGCTCGTTTCTCGTGAATCTCAAATCTCCCCAAGCTCTTCTCCGTACATCACCGATCGTAGCGTCGTTCCTATCCCATCTTCCTTTTTTCTTTGCTACACTCTGTGTCTGATCGCCCATCTTGGTCTTTATATCCGATGAGCACGCCCTTACTCCTTAATTAGCATCTTCTTTCCTACACGACCATCATGGCGGGCGACAAGGCTGGCAGCGCAGCGGCTGCTCGCACCCCGGCCAAAGGCAAAGGTTCCTTGAGCAAACCGCCCCCCTCATCGACCAAACAGCAATCGTCCATCTTCTCATTCTTCCAGAAATCTTCCCCTGGCGGTCCCGCGTCGTCGCCCCTGCAAAAGGGCACCGCAGCCGCTCCAAAGGTCTCTAGCACCAACCCTGACCCGCTTTCTTCCCCCGTCTGCCTAAAAGAGACCAGCATGGCCAACTCTCTGCGCAAGGCAAACAACCAGAAGACCAAGATGTCTGCTCCTCTACCCAGCAGCTCGGGAATAGACCCCCCTGGTAGCTCGCAGGAGAATATGCGGCCCAGCGACGATGATTATGGGGAACTTCCCTCTTCACCTCCCGTCGTGTCCTCTGCTGCCACGACGCACACAGCTACTAATAGGGTTGGTGCTGCCGCTCCAAGCAGCCCGACTAGAAAGGTACTTCTATTTTTGATATAGCGTTGCTTTAACGGTATTCTGACGTTCCAACCAAACCAGGCCAGAAAGGTCGTTAGCTATGCCGAATCCGACGACGACGACGAACCTGTTGCCCCTTCGCGACTCCAACGTCGTGGACGCGCACGCCGCAACATTGTCAAAGATGAAGACGAATATGGCGACAGCCAGACGGCTGAAGAGGATGACGACGCCGACATGGATGACTTCATCGCGTCTGACGACGAAGATGAGTACGAGACCAAGTCTAAAAAGCGCAAGCGTCCCTTGAAGTTTTCTTCTTCTCGCAAGAGATCCAATGTTTCATCTCCAGCGAATGAGGGGAATGACGAGGAGGAAGAGCTCATCAAGATGGACCTAGACGACGTTGAGCTCCTCGCCCTCGGTGAGGACGGTGCATCTTCCGCCCTGCAGTGGAATTACGACCCTACATCGACTGAAAAGAAGCCCGTCGTGCGCCCGGCTGACAGGGTCAGAGACCCCAAGACCAAGGAAAAGGCGCACACCAGGGAACCCGAGGAGCGCTACCCTTGGCTGGCTAATATCCGCGACAAGGAGAAGCGCAGCCCCGATGACCCCGAGTACGACCCGCGCACCATCTACATCCCGCCCATGGCCTGGAACAAGTTCTCGCCCTTTGAGAAGCAGTACTGGGATATTAAGCAGAACCACTGGGACACAATCGTCTTTTTCAAAAAAGGAAAGTTCTACGAGATGTACGAGAACGATGCCACTGTTGGCCATCAGGAGTTTGACTTTAAGATGACGGACCGCGTCAACATGCGCATGGTTGGCGTCCCCGAGAGCTCCCTCGACCACTGGGTCAATCAGTTCATTGCCAAGCAGTACAAGGTTGCCCGTGTCGACCAGATGGAGACCAACCTTGGAAAAGAGATGCGCGAGAGGCAGGACAAGAGCAAAAAAGCCGACAAGATCATCACCCGTGAGCTTGCCTGTGTCCTGACTGCCGGAACCCTCGTCGACGGCGGCATGTTGCAGGACGACATGGCCGCCTACTGCGTCGCCATCAAGGAGACCGTCGTCAATGGCGCTCCGGCTTTTGGTGTCGCCTTTGCTGATACAGCCACTGGCCGCTTTCACCTGTCCACCTTTGTGGACGACGCCGACCTGACCAAGTTTGAGACGCTCGTTGCTCAGACCCGTCCTAGGGAGCTTCTCCTCGAGAAGAGCCATGTCTCTACAAAGACGCTGCGCGTTCTCAAGAACAACACCAGCCCCACCACCATCTGGACCTACCTGAAGGCCACTACTGAATTTTGGGATGCCGACACAACGCGTCGCGAGCTCAACTGCGGCGGCTACTTTATTTCCGGGAGAGATGGTGAAACTGAAGAAGTCTGGCCCGAGGCTCTCCAGCAATACAAGGACGACGACATCATGATGTCGGCCGTCGGTGGACTGGTGTCTTACCTCAAATTCCTCAAGCTCGAGCGTCCTCTTCTCTCCCAGGGCAGCTTCGAGGCCTACAGTCCCATCCAGAAGAACAGCACCCTCGTCCTGGACGGAAAGACGCTCGTCAACCTTGAGCTCTTTGCCAACTCGGTCGACGGCGGCACCGACGGAACCCTTTTCAGCCTGCTCAACAGGTGTGTCACGCCCTTTGGCAAGCGCATGTTCCGCAAATGGGTCGCCCACCCTCTTTGTGACATTCGCCGGATCAACGAGCGCCTTGACGCCGTCGAGATGTTCAACAAGGACCCCTCAGTGCGCGAACAATTTTCGTCCCAGCTTGTCAAGATGCCCGATCTGGAGCGCCTCATCTCGCGCATCCACGCCGGCCAGTGTAAGCCAGATGACTTTGTCCGCGTACTCGAAGGCTTTGAGCAGATTGAGTACACCATGAGCCTGCTGGGTGCCTTCCAGGGAGGAGGCGGCGTATTGGACCAGCTCATCTCTTCCATGCCTAGCCTTGAGGAGCCCCTCAACTACTGGAAGACGGCCTTTGACCGCCGCAGGGCCCGCGATGACAAGCTCCTGATTCCCGAGCGCGGCATTGACGACGAGTTTGACCAGAGTCTCGACCGCATCGACGACATCAAGGCCAAGCTCAACGACCTGCTGGTCGAGAAGAAAACGGCCCTCAAGTCCAAGGCCCTCAAGTACACAGACGTCGGCAAGGAAATTTATCAGCTTGAGACTCCCAAGAGCGTCAAGGTGCCCAACGACTGGCGTCAGATGTCGGCCACCAAGGACCTCAAGCGCTGGTACTTCCCCGAGCTGACGCGCATGGTGCGTGATCTGCAGGAAGCCGAAGAGACGCATTCACAGCTCGTCAAGGAGGTGGCCTCTCGCTTCTTCCACAAGTTTGACGCTGATTACGACACATGGCTGCGTTCCATCAGCATCGTCTCCAACCTCGACTGCCTCGTCAGCCTGTCCAAGGCGTCGACATCGCTCGGCCAGCCCTCATGCCGCCCCCAGTTTGTCGATGAGGACCGTAGCGTAGTCGAATTCGACGAACTGCGTCACCCTTGCATGACGAACACAGTCGACGATTTCATCCCCAACGATATTAAGCTCGGCGGCGATGAAGCCAAGATCAATCTGCTTACTGGTGCCAATGCAGCCGGAAAGTCGACAATTCTCCGCATGGTAAGTCTTGCTTCCACCGCTGTGCCCATCTGTTTCTACAACATCAAGATACTGACGAGTACAAAAGTCCTGCATCGCCGTCATCATGGCCCAGGTTGGATGCATGGTGCCGGCCAAGTCTGCGCGCCTCACGCCCGTAGACCGCATCATGTCTCGACTCGGAGCCAACGATAACATCTTTGCCGCCCAGTCAACCTTCTTCGTCGAGCTTTCTGAGACAAAGAAGATCCTGTCTGAGGCAACTCCACGATCCCTCGTCATCCTCGACGAGCTCGGCCGCGGCACCAGCTCCTACGACGGTGTGGCCGTGGCACAGGCCGTGCTACACCACGTGGCCACGCACATCGGCTGCGTTGGCTTCTTCGCGACGCACTACCACTCGCTTGCTACCGAGTTTGAGAACCACCCTGAGATCCGCGCCAGACGCATGCAGATTCACGTCGACGAAGCCGAGAGGCGCGTTACCTTTCTCTACAAGCTCGAGGATGGTATTGCAGAAGGAAGTTTCGGTATGCACTGCGCTGCCATGTGCGGTATATCTTCGCGTGTCATTGAGCGTGCCGAGACGGCTGCTCGGGAGTGGGAGCACACCAGTCGTCTCAAGGATAGTCTGGAAAAGGCAAAGACTGGTTGCTACATACCCTTAGGATTCCTCAGTGACATTGGCAGTATCCTCGGCGACAAAACGGATGTCGACGCTGCTGGGCTCGATGTGCTTCTTAGGGGTATCGATGGTCTCTGAGTGTCTTGATTCTAGGGCTGTATACTTGGTGGCGTTTTTGGGCTCATTCCTTCGTGGTATAGGTTTTGGCGTTCTCTTGTCCTCTTTTTCCTCTACTTTTTTTTTCAGCAGGCGTCTCTTCTGGCTGTTTTTTAACCTCCCGGGTTTGACGAGAATTGGCTCACAAGTTATAACAATCACGGTATAATGGGATATATAGGAGGACAACATGTAATATAAAAACTGAATATCAGGGCGAATACATATATCAAACTCCGAGTAAAAAGCAAACCAGAAAAACAGTAAAATGACAATAGGAAAACTGGAAAAACACGGAACCAAAAGAGATACCAACGATAACCATAGAACTAAACAATAGAAGAAGAATCAACAGCGATCAAGAAAACCAAACGACATAAAGAAAGTTACCACTGATCTCATTCAGTACTAGCCACTGGTGAACGATGATGACGAGGCTTAGGAAAAGGCACGGGTGATGCATCTTTCGATCGAGAAGGTGTCATCATCGTCCCCCGATTCCTCCAAGATCTTATTCCTGGAAGGCTTGCATGATAGATCGCGCATAACAGCGCTTCTTCTTGCGAGGAGTGATGGGGGAGTGAGGCTCCACTGTAATGTCAAAGTCACCGTTCTCATCTTCGTTTTCATCTTCATCGTCATCGTCGTCGTCATCCTCATCCTCATCCTCATCAGAGTCGTCATCACCCCACGGAAGGCACAGCGCGTTGTCATGGACCCTCTGGCGCTTGCGAGAGGCTCTTAGGTAGATGCCAGTGGCCTCACTGTATGAGTATTCGATGTCGTTGCTAATTTTCCTCGTGGCATTTGACTGCGTCACTGAACATTGCCGACGCTTGCGGGGGGTCGTGTCGAGGCTAGGGTCTGTGGGACCGGGTGATGCAATAGAGCTGAGGTCGGCAGTGCTCTCCAGACTAGATAGCACGGAGCTGCCTGTAAGCCAGCTTGCAGAGCCGTCTGGGTTACATTTGCCGTCGTGGACAAAGAAGCATTCGTGGCAAACACCAACGGTTCGCATGTCGCAAAAGGCTTCAGTTGAGGGGGTATATTGGTCGCCAGTAACGTCGCTAATGTTGTCTTCCAGAACTTGCTGCCTGATCTTGTCTTGGTCCTTTGTCAGGCTGTGCACCGATGTGCCGTACCTAGAACCCCATACAGACGGGACAACTCCGTGGCCCTTGTTGGCGCTCGTGTCTGACAGAATATCCAGGCATTTTTGGAGGGACTGCTCGGCATCCCCGGTCAATGGACGCTTGTCGTTGAGGTCGACGTAGAAGACACGACCCAAGGTTCCCTGTTGACAGATCTTCATGATGACTTCGTATGGGCGGGGTTCGCATGACGGTGGGTTGTCCTCATCCCATCGCTTGACAAAGAGTCACTTGTGAGGGGCGGACGCGAGAATGTCAATGGCAGTGTTGGCGTTCTTCAGTGCAGTTCCCGTAATGTAATGGGCGAGATGCAGTGCATCAATGCTACAGGACTCCTCGTGGGAGACGCTGTCGTCAAGATTGTACCAAACGCGTACATAATCGACTCCTTCGTCATCCTGGACAGAGAGAATTTTGCGAACGGCATAAATGTATGCCTGAGGGCTTCCGAGAGCAAAGGGGATGGATCCTTGGAAGCCGAAGACCGTGGCCACGTCAGCGTGTTTGGTCAAATGGACGTTGAAAGGCTCAAAGCGGCCGGTGGTAGTGTCTAGTTGCGTTAGACTGTGGTAGATATTATCTTGCAGCAAATCATATTTACCATGGCTGCACAAGTGTTGGAAAGGGTTGTCGGTACTGTCTTTGGCGCCTTTGGCCTTCTTGCCAACGTCGACTGGACTCCTGGATATACGTGCCGGATGGTACGCTGGACATGTTGGTTGTTGGAATGAATCGTTGCTTGCCGGAGACAGTCAGACGACAAATCATGGCACATATATATAATACTCGGCATGCCAGTATAATCTTGGTGAAGTCATAGTATAGATCATCACGAATTTCGCTCCTGGAGGAGCCTTTTGGTGTTCTTTGTCTCTTTCTCTTATTAGCGTCTACGGAGACGATGAATGGTCACGATATGTGCAGAGAAGCACAGAGGTGTGTTTCTGATGTTGAGATTCATATAGACGTATTGGAAGATGCAAACGAGAAACAGTTTCAACTGTTGCAGGGGATGCGTTGAAGCGAATGGATGAGCGGCCATGTATCAAGTTGAGAGATGTGATAATGAAGGAGGTGGGTGGCAAGGAGCAGCGTTGGGGAAGCTGGGGAAGGGGGGGAGGAGCGACATTGAAGTGTGGAACTTCCCTGATTATGTTCCATCACCGCGTTCCATCAATCACTATGTCGAGTGACCAAGACTAGTATGAATAGTGGACAAAGATAAAACAACAAGGAAGGAGAAGTAATTGAACAAGCAACAGTTCTCGATGTAGAATGTGATTATAGAGCAGTAGAGCAGAGGGCAAAAAAGTCAAAAGAAAAGCTCTATGACAGATTCGAACTGCCGTCCTCCGGAATGACCGATTTGAGTTCAATCAAAACCGGATGTCCTAACCACTAGACTAATAGAGCCAATGTGTTCGTTCCACTGTGAAAATACCAACTATAGAACCATACAAGGTGGGTCTAACCTCAGACAAATCCACTAAGTTTCATAACGATAACCTACATTTATCAAATCAATACTGGGGAGTAATATTACGACTAACTAGATTACAATTGTCTCGTTCTACTTCAAAAAGGACGAAGGAGTTCCGATACATGAGTTACGAGGAGTCAATGATAGGGTAGTAACCTGAGTTTATGGTCAATGCTGTAAGATTTCGTGCAATGTGCTCACTCGTAACTGTAGTAATACAGCTAATACTCCCAACCGTCACCATTCATAAGAGTCGTCATCTCACCAGGTCCCGTCATATAATACATCATCATCCATCGTACACATTACCACTCTCCTTTTCCCCATCTACAACAACCCTCATTATCCTGTGTAGGCAGTACATTTCTTTTCTCTTCCCAATGAAAATGAAAACAAAGGATCTTGTAGATAACGTCGTCTTGTAAAATGACCAATCGATACGCCTTCCATATACACCCACCCAAAGCATTGAAACAACCCTGATTGAAAAACAGACAAACACTGCCTTATGCAACAATGGAAAACACACGTACAATTTTTTTATCCCCAAGGAAATAGATGAAAGATGGCCAAATGATGGAAATAGTAGAAAACAAATCAAAAGCTAAATAGACCGCTGCGTCGCTTTCCGAGAGGATAAATCAAGAGGGCACTGAGGAAGAGTCCTACAGCAATGCCGATGGCAATTTGGATCATGGAAGCAGCCACGTTGAAGATGACCGTGTTGACCTGGTCCTGGCTCGCTGAGCTGCTGTCTGATTCGTTGCCAGTAAGCATGTCCGCCGTGGTGATGCCGCTGAGAAGACCGCCCGTTGAGGCCAAGCCACCAGGCACCTGGGTGAAAATGGCGGGGATGAGGGCTGCAGCTGCAACGCCGTGCCGGAGTCGCGAGTAGAGATTTGCCAAGATCCCGACAGTGAGAGCTCCCAGAGTGCTGGCAATCTGCGGGCTAGCTGAAAATTTGAGGCTGCTGAAGTAGTTGACGATGTATCCGGCAAAGGCGACCACAACCATGACGGGCATTTGGCGCCACTTGGCCTGGTATAGGATGCTGATACACACCACAAACGGAGGTACAAATGCAAAGGGAACGTAAGTTGGGAGGGTCTGGTTGCACGTCGTGGCCGAGGAAGCGGTGTCGTCGAGTATACCGTAAAGCGCCGAGCCCACCGTGATACCGAAACCAAGAAGTAACGAATAGACAATTGCGTAGACGATGCGGATGGAACCGGCCACAATGGAATGGCTCTGAATCTCGAGGGAAGAGCATACTATATAAGAGAAACGCCAGTTAGTGTCGGGTCAATGAGACACGGAGTAGTGAGGAGACTCGCAATCGACTTACAGACAAGATACCCGGGAAGCAACATGACAATACCGCCTTGTGCCAGGGCCGAAAAACAGAAGAGATTTCCTCCAGAGATGCTGCCAAACATGCGGGCCAGGAAGCTTACGGCGACGACCGAACTGACCTCAAAAACGTTGCTGTATAATTTCGACTTTGGCGACACAATCAGTTGCAGGAAACCGACCAGACAGCCAAGGAAGAAGCAGAGAGGCAGGTCGATGAGCCTGGCCTTGAAGGAAAAGGGAGCAGCCGTGGCACTTGTGAGACCAAAGATGAGAACACGCAGCCAGGGGCTGAACTTGTCGGGCGACTGCAGCAGAGCATCGAGGTTCTCGGTGCCTTCCTCGGCGGTAAGGACGTCGTGAATGACTTCCTTGTAGACGCGGTGGACGTCCTTGAGCTTGCCGAGATCGATTCCCTGGGCACAGCGCACCATACGCACCTCGGCAGTATGTGTTGCTCGGTCATCAAACGAAATGACCATGGAGCCGGGGAGATAGAGAAATTGGCCGTCGATCTCGAGGGCACGCGCCGTCATGCTCAGATACTCCTCCAGACGATGCGTGGGCGCGCCGTAAAGCATCAACGCCTCGCACAACTTGACAATGTACTCTTGGCGGCCCAGCGTCTCGGCAATGTGCGTGGCAATCCGGTTCTCTTCGTCCCTCCCGAGGAACGCCATCGTGCGATTGCTGCTGGATCGCCGGCGGCGGTGATGAGTCGGTCGCGCCCAATGGCGTCCTGGGCCTGACTTGGTCGGATCAGGCGAAGGCAGGTTAGGATTAGCAAGCCGCGCCGAAGCGCCGACCAGGTTGGCCAGAGCGTCGTGCGGTGATTTGTCCTGCTCGTACCATTTCCTCCGGGTCGGTGTGACAGCCCCAGAGCTGCTTCCGCTAAACCCACCATGGCCGGCCTCGCCGCCGTCATCATGGTTGGCATTAGTGGCAATTGTCGAACTGCTCCAGTTCCGTCCATGGTGGCTCACAACCTCCGCATGAGGCTTATATAGGCGTAGGAGCTGCGACAATACACTGCTTCGGTACTGCTTGGGGGGCGGCACACTGTAGACACCGTCGTAGAAGCCGTCATTGACCTCGCTAGGGGTTGCCTGGGGCAGCGTGACATCCGATATGGGCTCTGCCGGACTGTTGGTCCCGCTGGTTGCGGTGCTATCGTTCTTCTTCCTGCTGCTACGAAAATGTCGCGTATGGGAGCGCACCAGCTTTAGCGCTTGCTCTCGGAATGGCTCCATTTTGCTGCTGCTTCCGCCATCGTTGTGCTCTTCCATATTAGACAATGTGATGAGGGCCTGCTGACTGCCGTTGTCATGCGCCAATCCTTGTAGCGGGATAGCTTCCCCGTAATGATTCTCGCTCCCGACAAGCGACTCGTGCGAGTCATGGGAATCGTGGGAGTCGTGGGAGTCGTCGGAGGCCACCGAGTCCCTGCGGCCAGCGGCCTGCTTGTTCTTGTCCTTCCGAACGCGGTCGGCTACGTGCCTTGCTCTCTCCTGGGCTGCAGCGGCGGAGATGGCCTTTTCGGGTTCCATCTGGTGGTCATCATCATCCCCATCATTGCGGTTCAGTTGGGCAGTACTCGGACCAGGACGTCCGGGACTGTCTGAACGTGTACGCAGAACGGATGGACGGGGACGGGTGACGGGGTGTGTCTCGAGGCGTGGCGGGCTCATCTCTTCGCTGCGACGTGGCGACGGGCCTGAGCGAGGCCTGCTGTTCTCGTCGGCTTTGCTGTTGAAGCGCACTCTGGACCTTTCTTTCCTCACTGCTGAATTGGAAGTGGAAGGCCCTGCATCCCGTCCACTCCGCGACTGGGTCGGAGTCGACTCCTCAGCTGATACGGGGGATGCATCGGAAGTGGTGATGGTGGCGACGGGAGTGCTGATGATGACCTCAGCAACTTCAGAGGTCTGCGGGCTCGAGAACCTCGTTAATGTCATTAGATGCAGTCCTGTCGTGCGAGGATGAAAGGAGGAGCTAGAATATCCTGTATGAATCGAAGTCGAAACAAAGAGGAGGTAGGAGGAGAACGAGGAGCAGGTAGGAGGAGTGTGTGAATCGTAGTAGCAGTTGCCTGATGATGTATCTTTGATATTCGATGGGGAAATGAAACTGAGCACAACTGACGATGGCGCTTTGCCAACGTATATGTCTTTGATTTAATGTATGTAAAACGTGCTTCCTAGTAATACTGGGAGTTGTACAAAACCGTTATCGGCGATGGCCTCGTTCGCATATATACAGGTACGGAGTACGGAGTATACAGTATACGGCGTACACACTCCGCATCGAAGCTCGGTGGAAAATTACATGCCGGCCGTTCCTCGTCTTTCTGTTATAGGAAATAATTTGTTGGAACATGCATGAGACTAAGACAGGGACCCCAAACTCATGTCATCGTCAACAAATCAGCAAATTCAAGCGGCGGCACTTGGGAAGAAACTTCTGCCCTCGAACACCACGAGTACCCGTACTCAGTGCCGACGATGTAATATTATCACCCCCCGGCCCACATTGCCACCTTGTTGTGCTGGCTGCACGGCCCATCCATGTATTTCAGGGCATTACGGAATCAACGGAGCACAGGTAACACAAATACGGAGGAAGAAAAAAATTTACTCCTAAGCGCTAGTGTCACCTTCGTTCTTCATCCCAGGTGGAAGGATCCTCACGCGATTATGGCTTGGTCTAGGGCCCAGAGTCTGGTCTTCCGGGCTTCTTTGACGCTTCGTATCGCGGCGTAGTAACACACGCACACGACGACAACTCCGCAATACTCGATATATTCGTACTCGTGCACAGAGGCTGTGACGGATTGCCCGTGTTTCCTAGTGCTGTTAATGCTCATACAAGTAGATGGATGACGTGGAAACCCCGACTTCAGTTGTGCTCAATGAGGGATGGAGACATGACCAGCTCAGATTTTCACACGACCCTTTTTTTCTCTTTCTATTAGGTAACAAATGACGATTCGGGGCGGAGCCGAACATTCCAGACCTGTCCACCTGCAATCTGTGACCCAAAAGGCGGCTCTGAGCCTCTGGACAACCCCTGGCTACGTGGATCCTTCGGGCGCCCTTTGGGCCCTTCGGGCCCTTTGACAATAACGAGTCTGTCGCAGATGGCCGGAACGTTTTTGCTGATCTAAATCAGGAAACGAGCCGTTGTCCACTTTATCCCCTCCCCTCGGATCGTTGTTCACTGGTCAAGAAGCTGACGACGCTCAGCATTAACAATGAATTGTGGGATATGGGGCCAAGCGTTGTTGTCTTTCTGGGGTAGATCATATTATGCAATGCCAAGTCAACCGGGGGGAAGACAATCGTTGCATACAATGTATCATTATACTGTCTGCATATTGCATACCCGTCGCTACGGTCCGTATCATGGTCCACCTTCCACCAGAACCACCACCTCCCATTTCAACCCGACACGTCAATTTTTCTAAAGCGTTCATTGACCGCTACAGCCTACAGGTAGCCCATAAGCTTGTCTTTGGCCGTGACCGGATGCCCCCTTTGCCATGGATGTGGTGCAATTGCGTGACTAGCACTGCAGCAGCCCGCATGCCTGTAGCATGAGAGAAGGTATGTTTCGACTGGACTGCATCTAGAACTATTTGATCTCACCAGGCGAGAGTTAAGGAAATACTCCCAATTTGACACGTCTTTCAGGTTATTGTTGGAGAATTTGCAAAACAGTCACATGCCATCCTTTTCATGGCATTTGAAAGACGTTTACTGGGCATACAGGGGCAAGCTGAGTGAGCTCATCTATATGTACTCCGTATGAGGATTTTGTGATTATCAATTTCCCAGAGCCAAATGTGTATTACTATATGTACTCTATACGCGTAGGACGTACTGCTGCTATAAATACGGATATGACGCTCTTTCAAGTTCTAGGATGTTCGGGGAAATTGAAAGGAGTCAGTCGGTCAGGAACAACGTATACGGAGTACACGAGGGAAGCATTCCTCTGCTTGCCATCCCGACCTACCCCTGATGACGCCCCGCATCTTCTTTCAACCCTATACACGTACGAGCAAAACCAACACTCACGTGGAAGATCAAGTCTTGCAGTTGGCATGGGGGCCAAGATCAAGGGATTTCCTCTTTCAACTATGGACTGAACCGTGACCGGGATGAGAGGGACTCTGGATAGTGGAAGTCGACATCCGCTCAATCGCTTTCTGTTCGTCCATCTTAGCGTTAGTCCGTCTTCTTGGATCGATGATGGTGGTCCGTGGGCCCTGATTCTTCCTCCTGTGGCCTTGCCTGGCTGGTCATTGGCTCAAGAAATTTAAGCATACATGCGTATAGATATAGAAGAGCACCCCCTGGCCAACAGGCAACTTGTATGCCGCTCGTCTTATCTTCCTCTTCCAATAACATCACACCGTTAACATCTGAGCACATGCTCCGCTTCCTTGCATCAAGGGCACTCTCCCTTTGTACTTTGGCGGGACGATTGAGCCTTTGATCAGCAAACGACGGTGATCAACATCATTCTTCATCAACAATGCGCGAGCTTCCATCCAACGCATATGTACAACAATCACACTAAAGGGGGGAAAAAAAGATGAGCTTTCATCTGCCGTTAAAAACTGCCTTCTATTTGAAAATTCCTCTACAGACTCCCCCGTCAATGTGCTCTGATTCTTCTGTCGACTGGCTTTCCTATATAGGAAACTCGAATCGATCGCCCGAGCATTTGCGTAGCATTGATGCATAGCGGAGAGTGCAGCTCACCCCGGACGGACGATGCATTTGCTCACAGCTGGGTGATGAATCCTTAACTGGACTTGGACGTTTACCATTGAAATTGGCTACCTTTAGATTCCTCCTGCCCTACTTCTATCTAATAGGATTTGCGTATACATGAACTCTTTTATGATTGCTCGCTGCTGACATCAGCTATGCCATGTGATTTTATTCTCTCACCCGTAAGGAAAATATTCAAGCTGGAGACGATGTGCCAGTCTGCCTTGGCTAATCGCAGAAGCGATGCTGGCACCTTCTTTTTTTTGTTTGTTAATGAATGAACTCTCCACCGAGCTTGGTTGTATCTGGGGTCTAAATGGTAGTTACTTTGTGTTACTTGCTCTGATACATGTCAACTTAGCATCGCTTTCTTTTCATCTGTCTTTTCTCTCTGAACAGACCCCATAACATCCTGTGAATATTTATAAAGACCTTAGTTACGACCTCCATACTGGCTGCTCAAGAAGCGTCTGCCAACCTGAAGCGCTTCTCGGGCAGGGAGGAGGTTACTCGTGGCACTCATCCTTCCTCAGAAACTTATCTGGACTTGATAGCGAGAGCGTCGTAGTATCTCTCCAGGCTTATAATAACTGATCTCCATGTCCACATGGTCAGGAGTTATAATTACGAGACCGTGGTTACTGCAAGTCCTCCGCTTCTGGCGTCTAGAGATTGCTCAGGCTCTTCCAAGGGGAGCCTCAAGAATGCCATCATCGCCAAGCGAAAGGGCATTGCCAACGAGGCCTTTGCGCCGCACGACGACGTCTCATTCAAACCTCGTTAAGATGACTTGTGCCGTCATCAAACAGAGGTAGTGAGTGACATGTATGAGATCAGCTCCCAGCTTTTCCAGAGTGACTACTGCGACCCCAACATCTGGACATGAACGCCGTAGACCCCAGGACTGGGATTGCGGGCAGATTCCCCTTACCCACGGATACAGCCGAGGGAGGGCACGACTATCCTGTTGATGGTTGTATAACGGTATCCTTCCCGGAGGCAACTTAGGCTGTTCTATAACGCACTCCCTCCCCATCTGTCCCATCTGTATATTAATCACAGACATATGTGCATGTAGCGAGAGCTTGACCTCAATCCAGATTAGCCACTAGTTCAACTTTCTCCATACGTTTCCATACTTTCCAAGGCGGCTGTGATGGCGACGATGACGGAGTGGCTGACGCGCCCACCATGTCTGGTCCTTCCAACCAACTTGCCTGGGACGAATCCTGTCCACGACTACGTGAAATATGCGCCAAGTATGTGTCTTGTTGAGTCCACTGACGACCAAAAGATGCCTATGCATAACGCCTGAGGGAGCTTTTACCAAAGGGTTAAGAAAACAACCGTGTTCTTTCTTTACATTGATCAAGGAGATGATTGGACGATTGCCATCACTGTTGTGCTTGTACTCGTATTATTACCACTCCGAATTAGTTAATGGTGTAGAAAATCTCATTTTCCCCTTTGGGTAAAGCGCCAATGATTTATATCGGGATGACAAACAAGGATCAGCAAATAAGAGGCAGACAAACTCTCATCTCTTCGACGTTTGAATCACTCGTCTTCGCATCTCAACATGCCTAAACTTGTGTGAACTATGGCTCACGAAATGCTTACATTTGTGAATACGACGGGGGCACCGTCATTGTCGCAGTCAGCTATGAAGCGGATGAGGGGGCACGTTACGCGGACCAACTTCTCCAAGCGGCGACGGCGCAGGACAGCCGAGGCTCGATTCAAATCCCTAACGTCACCAGAGAAAACAGTGAGAGATGCGACAACGGCTGGCGCTCTGCAGTATTGGAATTCCACATCTTCACCAGAGCAAAATAACAACTCCAATAGCCACAAAGCCTTTGTAGCCATGATTCAAAACATGGAAAGTCACGAGCTCCATACCGACGGATATCTGGGAATGATACTAGCCATGGCCATCAGTGAGCGTCTGGCTGAACATGACGCCTCTTGGAATACCCACATGATTGGGGTATCGGAGGCGATACATGAGAGGAGGTGTCGGGGGATGGAGGGCCTGCCTCCCGATATTTTGGCTCTTGCACTCGTGTTTGTCCTGATCTTCTTGCCTCCTGGTTTCTGAACTCAGATAGTTGCTGACCTTTTCCAACTCTAAACAGGGACACCGTAAACATGGCCTTTAGTTTTCCGCGAATATGCCACTACAAAGTTGTTGAGAAGCTGGGTAAAAGGCTGTCTCCATTCAACTCGCTCGTCTCTATGGCCCAGGACATTGCTATGCTCCGACGGAAGAGGAATTCCGGACATTACGACGAGACAGACGAGACATACGCTGCTTGGATAAGACTGCACATGAAAACGCGCGTTCTCGAGACACACGATAATCGTTACGTGCGTATTGCTTCCAAGGCGATGCTCCTCGCATCCATCTGGACAAAACCTCCATGTTGGATGTCAGATTACCAGGTCGTGGTTGTTCAACTCAAAGAAGAACTAGAACCGATACTAGACAGATCGTGCTTCTATCTCGACATGACCTCGTGTGCCATCATCATCGGCGCTCTCATGTCCGATGAGGGCTCGGAGATAAGGAACTGGTTTTTAGGCAAATTGAAGCGTGGTGTACGGGTGCTCGAGTCTCGCGGCTGGAGTGACCCGTTTCGCGCCGTGGAGAGAGCAGCCATGGCAGATCAAGAGATGCTTCGGTGTCTTCGAGAGGTGTGGAGGTTGGCATAGGTCTGACGCATTTCAATCCAACCCTCTTTCTCGGGCTGAGCTAATACCGCGTAACCCTGAGAGCACGGGAGGAGCTGGGGCGGCACATGTATCATATAGATATATAATCGAGATATTGTGGCAATAAAATTATGAATCCTAAACGACGAACATAATCAGGGACAACGTATCACGATGTTGAAAGGAGAAAAAGGATGTCGAAGATGAAATTTCATAATCGGGAAGGTGCAGCCTCGTCTTCGTAGGGAAGGGGCGGTTCGGATGCCGAAGGGTGAATCACGTGATGGGATCGCGGGAGAGTGGGTCCAGCTGCTGCCTTCTCTCAAAACCTTCTTGATCAATCAGATAACAAGTGATGATACAATCCGTCAACAGCCGAATACCCTCAAACCCCCATATCCAATCCCGTCAGCCAGAGATGGAGTAGTGACCCAGCCCCCCTCAATGAGGGTTGGTGCCATGAGAGAACGATAGCGACGAACTCCGGCACAACGACGATGCCGCCTTCACGGATTTTCGGGGCTCGCCCTGGGCCGACGACAGCAGAGCTGCGATGGCTGCTCACCCACCAGCAGAAGCACCACCAACACCAGCACCAGCACCAATACCAGTCTGTATTCCTCTGGAAACAGCAGAAGCAGCAGCGAAGATGGATGGCCTCGGCCATGGGGGCCCTCAGGGTCTCTCATCAGCCCGTCGTGCAACCCACCTCCGCCGCTGCTAGGAGCTCTTTCTTCTTCTCGAACCGCCTCTGTGAGCGGTCGACATGCCTCGAATCAATCATACGCGACACACGAGCCCGACCAAGCTCAACTTCATCTTCGGCCATTGCGCCCACTAGTGCTGCCTCTGACTCTGCCGCTGCCACCAGCAGTAGCAATCCCCCCTCTTCCGTACAGTCGATGGATAAACTTCCTCCCCACCGACGGCGGCAAGCTCGGAAGCGAGAGTCCGAATCCTCCAAAGGGGATCCCTCCTCCCTACCTCCCGATGCCTCGTCTATATTGGCCGCGCATGCGGCCGCTGCCCCTTCAACCTCTCTCCGCCGTACCCTGTCATCTTGCCTCTCTCTGTCCAAGCCGAGACTGACGGTGCTCGTGGTTCTGACGGCCATGGTGCCCTACGCGCTGTACCCGGTACCCGAGATGCTGCACCCCAGCATGACGGAGACTCCCAGCCTCAGCCCCCTAACGCTCCTCTTCTTGACGACGGGTACGGCCTTGTGTTCGGCCAGCGCCAACGCCCTTAACATGCTATACGAACCGTCAACAGATGCGCGGATGACGCGCACCCGTAACCGACCACTCGTCCGCAACCTCCTTTCCCGCCGCGCCGCCGTCCTCTTTGCCGTACTCGCTGGTGCCGCCGGCGTTAGTGGCCTGTACTTTGGCGTCAACCCGACCGTCTCAGGTCTAGGCCTGGCCAACATTGTTTTGTACGCGGGTATATATACCCCTCTCAAGGCCGTGACAGTCCTCAACACGTGGATTGGCGCTCTGGTTGGTGGTATCCCTCCCCTGATGGGCTGGGCCGCTGCAGCCGGCGAAACGGCGACGCGCGACGGATCATGGCGCGAGCTTCTCTTTGCTAGCGATGGCTCCTCGATCGGCGGATGGCTCATGGCTATCCTCCTATTCTCGTGGCAGTTTCCCCACTTTATGTCTCTCAGCTGGGGAATTCGCGAGGAGTACAAGGCTGCTGGTCTGCGCATGCTGGCCTGGACCAATCCTGCGCGCAACGCCCGTGTCGCCTTGCGTTATAGTCTTATTTTCCCGCCTTTGTGTGTCGCCTTATGTGCCGCCGGTGTCACCTCGTGGGGCTTCGCCGCCACCAGTCTTCCCGTCAATGTTTGGCTCATCCGTGAGGCAGTACAGTTCTGGCGTAAGGAGGGCCACGGAGGATCTGCGAGGGGTCTCTTCTGGGCTAGCGTGTGGCATCTCCCCGGCGTCATGATCCTGTCCCTCTTGCATAAGAAGGGCATGTGGACTCGTGCTTGGCGCAGTATCACTGGTGCCGATGACGATGTCTGGGATGACGAGGATGAGTTGCAGGAGATTGCCCAGATGGAGGCACCTCAGCCCGTTTCACCGCAGCAGAAAAAGTCATCGTCTGGATCGTGGTGAGAGGGGGAAACTAAACTCTGTATTCGGTCATTTGCACTTTCTTCTGTTTCTGTGTCATCTTATTTTTATCTTGCCCTCGTGGCACTCTGCTACATTACATCTCTCCAACCTCGTTTTTGTACAATTAGTATTGGGAAGAAGAGGCTCATAAACTCAAGGAATGGAGAAAAAGGAGTCAATAAAAAGGGGAAACCCCCATTTTTTTTTGGCATTCAGGATTTGTTGATTGATGAGAGGAGAAAAGGAAAAAAAAAAACATTATAACCCTCCAGCGAAGACAACAGTTCCAGAGACAACGCCTTCCCTTGGTTAAAGGCCACAAAAAGACAACCCTGGTACCCTTCCCTATGGTATGAGCACCGTAAACAAATAGGTTGAATAAAATACAGGGGGAATCAAAACACCGGCGCCAAGCAATGCTGCACATTACCTCCCTAAAGATAATCGTAAGACGAGAAAGGAGGGAAAAGGGGACAAAGGGAAAGTAAGAAGGAAGTAGGGGGGGTTGGTCTCTCAGATCACATGCCGGGACCAGCACCAGCACCACCACCTCGATTGATTATAGAGCCAATACCCATGTCGACACTGGCCATGCGTTGTTGACCATTTGCATAGGGGCTGGCTCCGTTTTCACTGTTGCCAGGCCCATAGCTGGCGTTGGAGCTGACGCTTGACGAGTACCGGTGTTGATTTTGCATAGCAGAAGGATGGTGATGATGACTGCTACGAGCACCGTAGGTACCACCTCCCATGCCGTTCGAGGGTATACCAAATGTACTCAGATAGTTGGCACTCGAGGCTTCTCCCATAGTCTGCATTTGTTGTGGATGCGAGACAGCCGAAGATGGTATATGTGCGAGTGGATCGTGTGGTGGTGGTTGCTGGAAGCTGGAAGAGGTCGAGTGGACTCCCCCACCACCGCCGGCTCGTCCCCCAGAAGAGCTGATGCTCGTGACGGGACTACTGTAGGATGCGTCTAGTTCATCAACAGGAGTCAGGCCGATGCCGGAAATGCCGCTGTCGTCATCATACCCTGTAAGTGGACCGCCGCCAGCTGCTGCTGCAGCGCTCTGGCTGTGGAGGCGTTCGAGACGGGTCGCAGCGCGAGATGCGCTTTGGATGTTCTTGAGGCCATTCGAAAGACACTATTGAAGTGACAGGGAAGAAAAAGAAACTATACGTTAGTCTCGTGTGCCCTAGAAAGAAAGACTCCCATGTGCATTTAATGGGATGCTGAGCTTGATGAAGACCTGTCTTACCTTGTGCTCGACAGCTGTCCATTTCTCGCCAGTCCGTGCCGCCAGTCCGCTCCAAATCTCCTTTCTCATAGCCATGTACTCCTTGGCTAGGCGCTGGAATTTGCGGTTGTCCCATTCATCCGAATCTCGTCGTTCGGACAACCGCTCATGACGCTTGCGGCATGCGTTAGCCGATTTGGAGGGGAAGTAGGTGTTCTTGATTTGGTTCCAGTTAAGTCCCTTGGTTCGGGCTTCAATGAGCTGTTGGTCATCATGGAGGGTCCATGCTCCCGAACTTGGGCGGTGGGAAGGTGGGAGGGTAAGAGTAGGGGCAGGGTTGGTGTTGTAGTCATTGTTGTCAAAGCTCGCCGACGGCAGTTGGTGAGGCTGGTGCTGGGGAGGGATTTGCATGGACGAAGATGGGGTCGCCGACGTGGTAGACATGTCAAAGTAGTTGTTGGAAGCCGGGATGGACATTCTGGGTTCCGTGTACATGGATGCAGGAGCAAGCGAGACTCCAAGTTGATGTTGCGCATGCGTATTGGCGTAGGGTTGATGGTGGTGAGAACCGCTGCTGGCCCTTGGTTGTCTCGGCATCTTTCTGGTTTTCAAGAAGGATGTGATCAAGACGAATAGGTGGAGGACTGAGTATTAATGGGTCATCGAACCTGGTCGGTCGATAGTTCGGGCAGGTTAAGATTGCGCTTTTCGTGTATACAAAGAGGGTTCGGGTCTCTGTAAATGAGGCCGGTGTAGCTAAGAACAAATGTAGTGGTAGAGAACGGGGAAGTATTCTAAGCCAAGGAGATAGGAAAAAGACTTCAAGGAAAATTCCAGGACAGCCAAGGGGATGGAAACAATAATTCGAAAAAGGAAATGGTGGAGTTCAATGAAGCTCGAACTGTATATCTGAAGAGGGAAATGAAAAAAAAAAAAAAAAAAAAAGGGGAGCCAAGGTCCTGAGGAGACGATGGTGATTTAAAGATGGAGGCCCAGAATAGACGCCGGATGAGGCGAGCTGGAAACCAATCTGTCTGTTGGTCGTTGGTCAGATGAAACAGAGACAGCAGAACCCAAGAAATAGACGAAACAATTTCGTGTGTCTGACGAGTTGAGTATCCAAAAGATGCGTCCATAATATTGGCCGAACATGGGCAACGTCTTGCCATGGGCGGCTAAGCGACATGATGCATGGATCTAAGGGATGAGAAAGATGGGGGTGCGGGAGGGAACAAGTGCCAGAACAGCGGCAACCAAATCCGGAAATAGAAAGAGTGGAGAAGAACTATCTTTACCGTCAGTGATTCTTTAAACTGGTGTGTGTATACGTACAATAGACCCTAGACCCTTGTTTCCATTATCCTCTTG